AGGGACATTTCGTTCTTATGTAAGTACGGGGAATTGTCAAATGGGATCCAATTAGATTTTTGAAATACTGTATTTGTGCGACCTTTTTAATTGTTAGTAGATATTAATCCCGGTATGATCCGATATTCACATGGTGAAACGCATTTAGAATAATAATTCATTTATTTATCATCACGTCACGTGTTATGGCTTCAAATACGAAATGCGTGAATTGAATCTAATTTAATACATTTGTATTAACAATGAAAGTGAAACTACTGATCACGTATTGCTTTCCATTTTTATTATTATGTTTTATGAAGAGACAAAGAGGAAAATTATTCTCTAAATAGCTACAAAGTAATTTCTGTCTATTAAATCATAGATAATACACATAAATTAGTTATAGATAAGCAACTCAAGCACTCAACAAAAATGTTTACGGGCGTCTGCCACTAGATGGCTTCGCTTCGATTACTTTCTCATTGCTTCTGTAGATGGCAGTAACATATTATTTAACCTATATTTTATTATTAATGACGGATTTTGTAAATTTTCAGAAACCACAGATTGATAAAATTTTATCAATTTGTCTATAACAAATAAAGACTTGTATGATTTTTTTTTTTCTGTGTTTAGTTACACAATAATTAAATGCCTTAACATTAACTACATATAAGTTTAGGGGCATCCGCTACAAGACGTCGCTAGTTTCTATACAGAAAAATATTTGTTTTAAAGTATCGCAGTTTCAGGGCCCTGTATTAGATGTTTAAAACTCGCTCGCATGAGTAAGTGCCGCCACAAAACAATATTGCCTCCTGAATTGTTTCTTAACCCTTTGAGCGCGAACCGTCGATAGATTGACTCTCTACTAATGCGTATAAAATGCGGAGCGTCGGAATAGCGATAATTTGCGCAGTTTGATTAGGTGTAGGTATTGTATGTACGAACATGTCTTAACGCGCGTATGTATAACGTATTTCAGAAGTTCCTAATATTTATAAATAACCATTTCAAATTATTTTGCTGTAATATAGCATTAGTTTTTGTATTTTTTTTAAATTAAAGCATTTTATTAGGTATTCTTTTGACAAATTGTTTCTTCAAAATAAGTGAAAATAAATTAAGCACTGAGAGGGTTTAACACTGAGACAGACATTCTACAGACTGTTCTTCTGTTAAGACGTTCTTTGATTTGAACTTGATTTGACATTACACGCTAAATATTAAGAAAAATTGCGCGCATCACACTTAGTATTATTGAATTTTTGTACATTCCTTTTTTGTTTTTTTTTTATTGCCATTGTAGGCAGACGAGCATACGGCCCACCTGATGGTGAGTGGTTACCGTCGCCCATGGACTTCAGCAATGCCAAGGGCAGAGCCAAGCCGCTGCCTACCGCTTAATACTCTCAACAAGCCTCGTTTGAAGAAGGACATGTCATAGCGCTCGGGAAACACCGTGGAGGGGAGCTCATTCCATAGCCGGATGGTACGTGGCAAAAAAGACCTCTGGAAACGCACTGTGGATGACCGCAGTGGCTCCAGGTAGTATGGATGAACTCTACTCCGGTGGCGGCCGGTGCGATGGTAAAAACGAGATGCCGGTATCATCTCGAACAATTCCTCAAAGCACTCCCCATGGAACATACGGTACAAAATACAAAGGGAACCGAAGTCCCTCCGCAGACCCAAAGGTTCCAACCGATCCGTGAGAATGGGATTATCGACAATCCCGAAAGGCCTTCCTCCTTCCACTGTGTTCGTTAGAAAAATTGGTAGCTTCTAGGGATTTTAAAATCGGCATAATTGCATCGCTTATATTATACACCGTTGTCGTTTAGGTAAGACACGATGTCTTTATTTAAGCGCGCATTCATAATCATCATAAAATACAAATTGCTAGAATTAGAAATAGAATCGAATAAACTGAACATAAAAAGGCCACGATCCTAATATACAATAGTATTGACGACTAGCGACCCGCCCTCGCTTCGCTTCGGAAACATTAAATTTTATTATTAATAGCTAAGTCCCGCGGTGTTGCTATCGCTTATTGTCGTACAACAGGTGACGCCGCGGGGCGAAGCTAGTCTAAAAAGTAGCCTAAGATACGTAAATTCAAGTAGTAAAATTCAAGTTTCTCACAGAAAAAATATTGCTTTTATTTACGGTATTTTAAAAGTCTCCGTGCACAGTATATGCAAAAGCAGACGTCGAAAATTTAATACATTTAAGAACACAAATATTGGAATTGACTAAAAAACTAAATAATTAGGTATTTAAAACTTCGAAATTTAACCAATTCAAGATTATAGTTTTCTACATTTTTAGCCATGCAAAATAGCTAATTTTAAACTCTCACGTTAAATAAATGCTAAATATCATTATGCAAACAATATGCGTCAAAATTATTTGAAAGTTTTATAGTCACCATACCTTTTACGAATATTTAATCCGAATAAAACTGTATTTTCTTATTTTGCGTAATAAAGAAAGTGCGTTATTAATTTAACTTAATTGTTTGTTTATATTGCAATTCGAAATTCGGATTAACGGAGTTGAAAAAAAATTAAAGAAAAAATGTATTGTAACCTTTTGTTCGAGATCGTACTCGTATTAGTGATGGACGAGTAGAGGACGATGATATGCAAATTTGCAGTAATACGATTGGTCGTCCATATTGTTCCCCTTACCCCCCAATCCTCGATTCGTATAACACACCATTTTTAATAATGTAAAAAGGTTTGAACAATAAACACCTAACATTATAACTGTAGAAAAAATACGCCACCGACAAAACAGTTTTATTTCTCGAAAACCAAAATTCACCAACCCTCTCAACCAACAAATAAAATCGCAAGCTTTTTGTAGATTATGATTGAAATCAGAAAAAAAAAATAATGTAATATCACTAAAATTGGCTGACGAGATTGGTAGTTACACACAACCCTATTGTCTATTGTTCGGTGGATGATAAAAATGTAATGTATTCATAAATAGGCAAAGACAAAACAGTTCAGTACTTTTTCTCCTTTGTTTGTCAATCGATTTCCTATTTAGTTTATTGATGAGCTATCTTGTAAATAAATGTTTTTTTTTTTTGGAAACCGTTACATTTTTTGTAAACTTCACAAGATAACAATGTCAAATGCAAAAGAGAAAATCTAAAGTGCCAGTGAATATGATTAAATTTCATCCAATAGGGGAACACTAGTATTATGAAATTTAATATTATAATTAATGTTATATAGATTCTCATTACAATTACTATGATATTATACATATAATTTAAGGCTAGTATCATCTGTCTTAAACTCTTAACAAGCATATGTGAATGCAAACACAAGCGTCTAATTGGAAAGCGCTAGTTTAAAAATGACAATCTTGCAAATTACTGATGAAATTCGTTTCCTTTTAATGACATTCTCATTTAAATTTTAACTGATTAATTGTAATGGTACAGTCATAAATAATACCGTCTTTACCATAAGGGCCCCCATTCTGAGGGGGCCCCGAAAGACCGACAATTTCTCTCACACGTTTATTCTCAAAACACTTTTGTCGGGCACATTACACTTTTTTCAGAAATCAGTAATCAGAAAGTATTTACAAGGCATATACTATGCCTATAATAGAAGATTTTGCTTAACAGAAATCCCGAAAGAAACCGTTATCGAAATCGTAACAAAAAAACCAGCAGCATTTTAATATCATTAATGACATATTATATCATACTGTATTTGATTACCTATAATAAATGGTCATAATCAGAAAAAAAATGTTATTATAATTCGCTTTTTTACTTTCCAAAAGGGCCTCATATTCTTGTGTGCCCAAGGGCCCCATCCTAGTTTAAGACGTCCCTGGTCATAAATTGTCAACATTGGTACAAGATACGATTTCCTACTGTGTTAAGGATATATAAAGGTATAGTGTATATACAGGTGCAATCTTAAACAATAGTTGCAATCATATTAGTAAACTCAATGGATAGAAAGAGACAACAAACTTTGTGAAAAGAGATGCTTCTCATTCTAGTGTCGGAACCACTCCATCTCTTCCAATGGTTCTCGTAAAAAGCGACTAAGGAATTCACCAGGGTCATTGACCGGTGGTAGGGTGTATTAAGCACGAAAGGGGAGGGTTTTTACGAGAACCATTGGAAGAGATGGAGTGGTTCCGACACTAGAATGAGAAGCACCTCTTTTGACAAAGTTCGTTGTCTCTTTCTATCCATTGAGTTCATTAATATGATTGCAACAATTGTTTTTATGATTGCACCTGTATATATACACCATACCTTCATATACCCTTAACACAGTAGAAAATCGTATCTTGCGAATGCGGATGTTGAGGATTTATGACTGTACCATTTCAATTATTCAGGTAAAATTTAATTGAGAATGTCATACAGCCTATTTTTAATTTAAAAAAAAAAGTTACGTCATATGAGTACTAGAGAAAACGCGTGTAAAAATGTCTCTTTAGAAACACGTATTTTTTTATTTTTTATTTTTTATTGCTTAGATGTGTGGACGAGCTCACAGCCCACCTGGTGTTAAGTGGTTACTGGAGCCCATAGACATCTACAACGTAAATGCGCCACACACCTTGAGATATAGTTCTAAGGTCTCAGTATAGTCACAACGGCTGCCCCACCCTTCAAACCGAAACGCATTACTGCTTCACGGCAGAAATAGGCGGGGCGGTGGTACCTACCCGTGCGGACTCACAAGAGGTCCTACCACCCGTAAACGTATTCTTGTGTTCCATTATACTGACAGAAGCGTATGATTAAATTTAAAAAAAACCTGACTCAATGATAGCTACAAAAAAATTAATAATTTTAGTACATAAGTGTTAAGCTTTCACTGTAGGTACGTGTACCGTTAATTTTAAAAAATAATTTAAAATTATACACAAATATATAACGTATTTGTGTTCAAATACGTATTTTTTAATAACTACACAATAAATAAATCATAAAATAAATAATCGAGATAAAAATAACTCACCACACATATTCAAATTATCCTCTCGAATAAAAAAATCACATACAGTAAACACTAGCGCATCACTAACTCAATACGACTACCGTTGCGAGACTTATTTTTCGTTCTATTCACAGAGTCAAGTTACGAGTCGTCGAAAGTGAGGCTCGCGCGGTGGTTACCAGCAGACTGTTGCGTTTTGAATTTACCGATCGACGTATCAAAAAATAGTGGAGGCTTATAACAACGTCTGTTCAAAAACATTACACACTATGGCACTAGTATGTAGTGTTATACAATGCATTCGGGAAGAAAAGCCGTTTAGGCCATTAAGTACACACATTGAAAACTTATTTCAGAAACTGCAAATGAAGTATTCGTGAAATCAATAAAAAAAAAATGTGGTGGTAAAATAATGTTAATTCAACATATTTTATAGTGTGTATGACTATGCGGTACTTTCGGGAACGAAATATTGATTAGGGATAAATAAACACACATGGAAAACTTTTTACCAAAACTGCAAATGAGTTATTTGTGGAATCAATTAAAATTAAAATAAAATAAAAATACATGATGATAAGAACATAAAAGTAATTTTGTTTTTTATTTTTAAATAATGTTAATTCAAGATATTTCATTGTATGTAACGTTATACGATGCATTCGGGAATGAAAAGCGTATAGATATAAACGCACATGCAAAACTTAAGACAGAAACTGCAAATGAAGTATTCGCGAAATCAACTGAAATAAAAAAAATGGTAAGAAGATAAAAGTAATTTAGTTTTTTATTTTTCAATAATGTTAATTCAAGACATTTTATTGCTTTAATCTTAGTTCGCACATCACAATGATTTAACACTTGACGTAAACTTTTAATTAATACTATATTGGAAACAACTTTCAAACAAACGTTAGATTTGTTCACTTGAGTCCCATTGAATTGAAACAAACGAGCCGAATTTGAATTTTAATCGTCTATTCACAAAAAAAGATTTAAATAATTCCCAAATAACGAACCAAATCGCGCTCATCTCGCTGTTTCATTATCAATCTTCACGGTCACACTTTCTCCGGTGATGACATTATGATAATTTTACAGAATAACAACAAAATTACAAATACATATTACATATAGATAAGTATTGCTGCTTCAAATGTAGGTATATAAGCGTTATATTAAAAGCTTTTGCTTTAATTAAAACAAATAGGAATACATTTTAGTGACACCGATGTAGGTAATTGTGAGGTGAACGTTAATTTTAAAAAGCGTATCATTTCCTGTCACTTTAATTGTATTTAAGTTATTGTTATTGTATGTTTATTTATATGTATTTTTCATTTTATATTAGATTTTTGTTTTTTTTAAGCTTTGTTTAGCAGTCATGCTTTAATACCTTTTATATTGTACACTATTCCCCACTTATACATCGTATTTCTCTCTGAAAAGAGTTTGCTGGAAGAAAACTCATGAATGAGTTAAGCTCGCCTTTGTACATAGTATTTAGATATTCTTTAAATCTGTTTTTATTGTATTTTCTTTTTGTGTACAACAAGTATAAATAAAAATAAATAAAATAAAAACGTATTAAATATTTTAATTAATTTTCTTTGTATAAATTTGCATTCAAAGCGATTCTAGAACACAAATTTGTTATTATATACAATTTAATCAGACTTAGTTTTATCGATTTTTAATAAAAATACGCACACTTAAATTATTTTTAAATTGAAGCTATACAATTAATAAAAAAAAACACTATATTCATTCTCTAAGAAATCAATGTTAAATAACTACAGATCTTCGGTGGCTTCGTTGTGTGTGCTTAAGTAGGTAGAATACATTATATTAGTATAACATGGGAGTGCCAGACAGGCTCGTGCTCATCATACGAGACTACTTGTCGAACCGTTCGTTCCGATATCGAGTCGAGGGAACGCGTTCCCGGCCCCGTCACGTCACAGCCGGAGTCCCGCAAGGCTCCGCCCTCTCCCCGTTACTATTTAGTTTGTATATCAATGATATACCCCGGTCTCCGGAGACCCATCTGGCGCTCTTCGCCGATGACACCGCCANTAGCTCACGTCTGTCAGTAAAATAATTTGATATCTATTGTTTGCTTTCCAGTCTCATTCCTATTCGAAACAAGTGTCTTGGCGTATGCAGACATATGCCCCTGCGATATAATTTCTCTCGTCCTTTGGAAAGCGATGTGGAAAGTGGTTCCGGAATTTTTGGACTATGTATCGTTAAAATAGAAAGTTAATTAGTATTATAGTTTTGCAAACGAGTTACGCATCAAAACAATTCATAGTTCTATATTTATATGTGTAATAATATAGAGGAACATTATGCAAAATTTAATACCCAATTAATAGATATGCTTTCGCGCACGGGTAAGCTTTCTGCTTAGGGGCAATCATGAATTCCTTTCGCAGACTCATCACTCAAAATTGGTGACAACAGGCACGTCGTGATATCTGTGGGTTTTATTTGAGAATTACCTATCTCACTTGTTGCAAACCAGATTCTAAATAATAAATCATTTTAATAAAACATTTATAATAAATCTTCATAACACGAGTATGAAATTCGTGCATGCGTTGAAACTGTGACTTGAACCTAAAATAAAGTTGTATTTTTAATATGAAATACAAATATCCACAGCGCCTTTTTGGAGGGATTACGAGGAACGAATTTGAGTTAACTGTTTTATTTCGTGAATTTAGTATTTCTTTAGGTTTAAAGCCGTAATAAAATTGGTTAAATTAACCGTTCAGCATCTGTGAAAATGTACAAATGTCGGAAAATGAAACAAAGCCGATTGACGAGCCTTCTCGAGTTCTTCTAAAACTCCGCTAAAAAAGTCTTAGTAAATAACCACAATTTTACTGAGAATTTATTTTATATGATGAGAGGTCATCTCGATTTATTTCATTCCAATAGATTAAAATCTCAAATTAATCTCATTTCGTTTAATATCGTTTTCCATATCTAACAGATTACAGGAAGAAAATATAAGACTAGATATAATATTCCAAAAAAAAAGAAGCAAAAAAGTCCTAACGTTTATTATTTGTGAGTCTAATTAGGTACAGAGAATTACCACGTTATTACAGATCCTCCCAATCCATTAACGGTACTTTAGGTACCTCAAGTACTAGTAATCGTCCTCGCCGAACTCGTCACTTATGACGAAGGGCTCGGCGAGCAAATTAGCCCATAGACACAGCCCACTGAGTTTCTCGCCGGATCTTCTCAGTGGATCGCGTTTCCGATCCGGTGGTAGATTCACGAAGCATTGCTCTTGCTAGGGCCAGTGCTAGCATCACCCCCGGTTTGAGCTCTGAGAGCTCATCTACACGCTAAGGTAACGCTAATGTAACCTCTCAAGGCTATCAGCAAATGTAGGGAAAAAAAACCCGTATGTTAACAATGTGATATGGATTATACTAATAGTGGGGCAGAGACATTATAACGTAGACGAATCTTGACAGATTGACAGTACGTACTTATTTAAAATTAAAACAATTTGAGTCAAGTACGTTTGTATTTGGGTACTTTTATATGCTGTAAAGGGAATAGATGAACTTAAAGACCACTTTATGTTGAATGCACCTGAGCAGGAGTTCCAGTGGCTCCCAAATATCTTTTCTTTTCTATTATTCGAACTACTATTGTATTTAAATTAAAAACACATTTGAAATTAAATAAAACAATTAAGTCGACTTTTGAGTTCAAATTTAACTTGTGCTCTTCACGATGATTAGTTCTTTCTAATTCTCACTTTCGATTCTTCTAAAATATCTTTAACGACAACCAGAACTTTATTGTTTATTTCTTTCAAGTCATCTTCATCGACTGTATTCTTCTTGATCATTAACAAGGTTTTGATCACCAGACTCTGTCTGTTCGGGTGAATTTTTTTCTCGTCTTGGCTCTTCTTTAAAGTGATCTTCAGTAGAGTCAGCCAGTTTTGTACGAACGTTAAGAACTCTATGGTCGTGTTCTGCGTCAGTTGAAATTGTATTAGAACGTGGGTCCAGGGTTGTGACGTCAAAATCGCCACTAATTTAGTGTCGTTTTTAGTGACAATTGCGTGTTTGAATATTGTACTTAACGTTTTCCAGCCGGCTGATGTTTGAGTTTTTGATTCCTATGAACGAATGTTTGAAAGAATTTAAATCTAAAATCTAATATATACTTGTGGAAAAAAAAAGCAGTAGGCTATCAGATCAGAAACATTTCAATAGACCTCGTTTGAGAATAGTTTTTATCGAGAGCCATGAAAAGCTTTGTTCAAAATATGCGGCACAATTGAAAATTTTGAGAATTGAGAATTTTACGTGAAAGGAATCTGAAAAGTGATATAGAGTAGGTATTATTAGGTAGCTTTTTTTTTTTAACAACCGCTTTAGTTGTGACTCAACATCGTTGGTCACGTCAACGATAGACAAAGTCGCTGCCGCTGATAGCCCTAAAGTAAAAAATTAAACTATTACAGGACTATTACTAAGCGGTGCGCGTTCAAGTTAAGGCTTCGGCGAATGCTGTTGGAAAAGATAGCGGAATCGTCATGAACTTATTAAAATGAAGTTATTTGTTAAGGAACTTTATTAATATATTCCTTTTAATACTGTATAAACTATTATATACATGTATGTATGTATGTGCGTATGTATATGTATATGCATATGTGATTGTGTATATATGTATATATATACTTATTCGTGTATGTATTAGTAACTTAATATAAATTTCATTGCACCTTCCACTATTTACTCTACACTACCTTTGGTTGACTGGTAGAAAATGCCTTAAGGCATTAAGTCCGCCAATGTAAATGTTACATGAAGTGTAATAAATAAATAAATAAATAATAGTTTAAAAAAGCTAACAAAATACGCTTTTATAGAAAATCCGACTAAAAAATAGAAAATAAATTTTCATAAATTTGAATTAAAAATAGTGTAAGAAAAAATGATTTTATTGTAAAAAAACGTGATCATTTACCATCAGATGGGCCGTATTCTCGTCTGCCTACAAAGGCAATAAAAATAAATAAATAAAGCGTTTTAATAAAAATAAATAAACTAACCCTACTGCAGAGCATCAGCTGGACCCTCAGCATCAGAGCTCTGAGCGCGCTCCACTGCTGAGGCTCACACGGCCCCGGCTCATGTGCCAACGACAACGGTGAATTAACCCCAGAGTTCAGTACCATATAGACTAATTGCAATAATGAAGCCCCGCGCTCATTATTGCAGTCCTTCCTTAGAGAATTTATTATGAAATTCGATTCTATTTGTAGTAACGTTTTTGGCTGTAAACAAAATACTGTTTGTAAATTTTTTATGTTTATTGAGTAGATGGGAAACGATGATGCCGTGACCCATCTCAAGGCGTGAGGTTGATGTCCCAGTTGTACTACAACTATTTCACTATCGGACATAAAACACAATCAATTAATAAATAATAAGGTTGCTTCTTTACGAACATAAGCAATTATTGTACATGAACAGATACTTGGTACATATTTTGATAGTGACTCCCTTAATTACTAGTGGTAGGACCTCTTGTGAGTCCGCGCGGGTAGGTAGCACCACCCTATTTCTGCCGTGAAGCAGTAATGCGTTTCGGTTTGAAGGGTGGGGCAGCCGTTGTAACTATACTGAGACTTTAGAACTTATGTCTCAAGGTGGGTGGCGCATTTATGTTGTAGACGTCAATGGGCTTCAGTAACCACTTAACACCAGGTGGGCTGTGAGCTCGTCCACCCATCTAAGCAATAAAAAAATCAACAGATACTTGGTACATATTTTGATCGTGACTCCCTAAATTAAGCATGTAATTACTATCACGCTTTTACCCTTTAAAACAGAAATGGAATTAGCGAAGAATGAATGTGATAATGAAAATACTTTACCTGATAATTGTTCTTGTTGAAATAGTGTACTATGTACGAGAGCAATTGTAGAGACGCGCAAGCAACTTTATCGTCTCTACTGTTTGTGGCTAGTAGAACTCGGGGAAGGAAGCCCTCGCGATTTACGTACGTTAATAAAACTGGAAATGGGACTAGGGCTGTTACAATTTGGACAATGTAAGGTGGGAAATGCTTATGTAGTCGTAATGGCCTAAATAAATAAGACTTTGTTATACTCGTATCGAACGATATTTGAAGACATAAGTGGATGAAAGGGGTATGATACAATTTGTTAATTTTGAGACTACGGGCTATAAATTTTTGTTACTTCTACTTTTTCTTCGTACATAACTCCTTCTATCACATGCAATTTCTAAAAATAGAATTTAAGCCCGGAGTTTTAGGGTCTAATATGGTTTATAGGCACATAACACCTTCATTCAATGTAAAAACTCAAAAATCTTAAAAACGGTAATTAACCTCTTCATCCACTCACGTCCTCATTTACTTATGACATTATGTACTTTACATAATACATTTACACCAAAATACTGTATTCTAGGATATTTAAGAGTTGCCATTACCATTTAACAAACAAAGGTCTTTACGATAAAAGACTACAAAATTTAATTTATTATTGTTTTTTTTTTTTAAATTCATATATCAAAAAAATACGAGCGAAACCGTCTTAAGGAAATAACAAAAACTTTATATACGTATATAGCACTTAAAAAAATATTCTACCTCGATTATCGTTTTGATTGTTTGCCAACCCTAACAGGTACAGGCACAGTTTCAAGCAAGCGTATTCATAGCGACAGTCGTAGTCGGAATCGTTGTTCGAGTACAGTGCTGAGAGCAGTACTGCTGTTTTAACGCAACCGGTCTGGTCCAGCTCCGAGGGGAGAGCGGACGTGGCGAAGTCCAATAAATAGCAGACATTAGACTCTGTAAGAGACTTGAGATTTGAGGGGCTGCGATGAAGGCATTACACAAGATGTTTTTGCACAAGTTCTTTCAGTCACTGGTGGTAGGACCTCTTGTGAGTCCGCACGTGTAGTCCACCACCACCCTGCCTATTTCTGCCGTCAAGCTGTAAATGCGTTTCGGCTTGAAAGGCGGGGCAGCCGTTGTAACTATACTAATTAGAACTCATATCTCAATGTGGGTGACGCATTTAAGTTATAGATGCCTATGGGCTCTGGTAACACCTAAACACAAGGTGGGCAGTGAGCTCGTCCAACAATCAATAAAATAAATAAAAACATTCTGTGCTGTACATAGAACAACCGAGACCACAGCCCACCCTGTGCTAAGTGGTTACCGGAGTCTATAAGCATTGTATATAACGTTAAGGCTATCTTTGAGACATGAGGCCTAATCTTAATAATATTGGACCCTTTAAATCGGATAGTTCCAATGTGTCGTTACAAAAATAAGAAGGATGTTAGTCCTAATCCATGTGGGCTCGCCATAAATTCTACTATCAACTTAAGCCCTTACGGCCCCCATCCAAATCGACTTTTTAGAACAAATATACGTTCCAAAACATATATTCTGAAACACTTCATGTGTTAAGGAATTGAGAGCTTATTCTTAAGAGTTAATTATCATCGCATTCTAACTCAAAAACTAATCGGAGGTCCGAGGGGTGATCTGATCCAAGAGATGATAGGTTTCTTATAACCATCAGTCTTCTCAGTATACCAGAAGTGTATATTCACGAGCAAGCTATCAAATATCTATAAGATCATTTCCGAATGTCGACCTTATTTTTGTCAATGTTAATGGTCATTTTTATGACGAATGAAAGGCGACTGCATGCAGCAGAGATGCGAATATTGCGATGGATTTGTGGAGTAACGAGAATGGATAGAATACGGAATGAATATGTTAGAGGAAGTCTAAAAGTGGCACCTGTGACAGAGAAGCTGAGAAGTGCGCGTTTGGGATGGTTTGGACATGTGATGAGATGAAATGAAAATGAGGCTGATAAGAGACTGTTAACTATGAATGTGGAAGGATATAGAGGAAGAGGTAGACCTAAGAAGAAATGGATGGACTGCGTGAAAGACGATATGTGTAAGAGAGAAGTGAGTGAAGAAATGGTATATGATAGAGGAGTATGGAAGGAGAAGACATGTTGCGCCGACCCCAGGTGACTGGGAGAAGGACAGGAGAATGATGATGATGATGGTAATGTTCATTTTTAAAATAAGTTTTTAGTTATTCAATTTTATTTACCTAAACAACACTCATCAATCAAAGCCTTAGATAATACGTCAGGTAACATGGACCAAACGAGATCGGCTATTTCGATACTGCCCTCATTTTCAACGTACATTCGTAGAGCCTTCACACAGTTCTCTACTATTGTAGAGTCTTTGTTATGTACGAGAACGTTCAGTAACAGCTGCGGTAGAGTCGGTTCCGTTGTTAGCTCAGTCGGGAAGCTGTCTTCAATTAATAACCATTGGGATAACTAAAACGTTGAGATGTTTGTAATTAATGTAGATACGCTTTTTTATGTGTGCAACGGAATCTTTGAAAGTCATTTTCGCTGACTTGAAGACGTCCGATTAACCCGAATATTTTCACACGCGTCAACGCCAGATGACGATAACGATTATACGTTTATAACTTCGTTTTAATACGCTGCCCAGTATCGACAGGATAAAAACTATAGATCGATTTATTTATTTATTCGGTTTGCTATAGAGTTTGAAGTTGAGTGTGAATTCTGCTTTACATCTTGAAGCACGAGAGGGAAGTCAATGGACAACAGTCAGATAATATTTAGATTTAATTACACAAGATGTCATTAATCTGGAGTGACTAGAGTTGGAATACATCAAAACAAGCCGATATCCTCATTGAGTTTTGAGTTTGAAATGCACCTTTAGATTTGAAGTGGTTTAATCCAAAATTCTTGTCTTTTAGTAATCATGTAATTGAAGAATTGTAACTTTTCAATTTCAATTTTAACATTTTAGATTCGAAAGAGACGGAAAGTCTACTTTGCCCTTTTATATACTAATCTATGCTAATATTATAAAGAGGAAAGATTTGTTTGTTTGTTTGTATTGAATAGGCTCCGAAACTACTGAACCGAATTGACTAATTCTTTCACTGTTCGGAAGCTACACTATTCCCGAGTGACATAGGCTATAATCTTTTTTGAAAACATTAGGGATCCTTATTAAAACTCCAATAATGTAACCCAAGGTGTAAAAAAATTACCTAAAATATTCTTTACATCGTGTGCTCTGCGAAAAATATTGATGGTAGAATAAAATAATGTACTACAAGTTTTTAGAACACATTATTATTTACAAAAAACTATTATTGTTATGCCGCAATAACTGTTCTTTTATTTTATTAAATAAAACAATGTCAAGTATTTGTTAAAGACCCGAGCGGAGCCGGAACGGGCCGCTAGTCTAGAATAAAATTGAAAGTAAATTTGAAATTTTAATATTTTACTTTTATAAACTGATAGAATACATGTTTATAAGTCGTTCAAAGTATAAGCCTCACTTTCTTAAATTTTTTAGTTAAGCCACTTCAATTCTAATGGTGCGATATAACGATCGTCGTTCAAGCGTCAATATCTAGCTGTCAACTGTCAACGACATCGTCGAGACCACTTATAGGTCTATGGTCGAGACAAACAAAACCTGACTATTACCGAATATATTAGTCAACTAGCTGTACCCGTCCACTTCGCTGGGCATTTAAAATTAACATTATTATTTCTCACCCCCACAAAGATTCTCATCATCAAAGCCCCCGCAACTGGTGTAGGGAGTCCAACACTCATATAAATATTAGCCTATCCATTAAGTACATGTATTTTTTATATGGATACCAAGTTTCAAGTCAATCGGATGCACGGTTCAGTAGTTATAACGGAACATCCGTAAAAACCACTGTAGATTTATATATTAGTATAGATAACTACATACTAAACATAACATAAAGAAAATATGGTAGGGCGTCTAGTGAGCTCACACGAGTAGGTGTCACCGCCCTCCCTATTCCTGCTGCGAAGCATTAATGCGTTCCGGCTTGAAAAGTGGAAGGGAGGGCTATAGAATTGAAACCTAGAACTAACGTTTCCGTAAGCCATTGAAGTAATTATAATTATACCTCCGATTCGCGTAATCCGAAGAAAAGACTATACTACCCTCCTAAATTACAAGGACATTGATAAAGATAAAAACCAGATAGACCAGATTTTAAAAGTAAAGCTACTTACAACATGTAACTTGACATAATCCGGGATCCTAAGAGATGTGAACGCCCAAAGCAATAGAGCCGGGTTGTGGGTGTAATACACTGAAGGATCCGGTTGTAGCATGACAATAAACCTGTCAATAGCTTTTTCTAAATACACCCTTTCTTCGAGGGAATCCAGAGTGCCGTTCGATATTGTCGCCATCTAAAAATATTATGCCTTCAATAATGACCAAAACAATTTTTTTAGTTAATGGTACTGAAATAAGAGACACGAGTATTTTGTTGTTTCCAGAAATCGCATTTAAACAGATGCGTAAATGTAGATTAACTGTCTTGTTTTTAGATTAATTGTGCAAAATTTAAACCGTAAAACGTCAACACCGAGCACTGGGCGGCGGGAAATAACCCAGCCCCCGGATCCAACCAGAGACCCGGAGCGGGACCAGTTGCCGTGAAGGACTAAATCCCTTCGAAATACTGATGTGGAAGGATGTGGGAACCCACCACAATTACATCCCAAGAGAGTCATGGACAGAGAAACTGTTTCAAGGCCATGACCACGACCCTCAGTAATGAGGAAACCGACGCAAGGAGGAAGGAGGAGGTGCAAAATTTTTTGTCGTCAGTTTATTCGCTATTATTACCAATAAGAATAATAATTTGACAATACAACCAATGAAATTTTGTAATGTCTCTTTTTTATGTCGAATGCACCCGAGTCTGCCTATTTAGATTCCGCATTCAGTAGATCGCGATTCCGATCCGGTGGTAAATTCACTCGCGAAACAGCTACCCCTTGGACTGGTAGGTCTCCTTCGGAGGCGGGCAGCTGTTAGCAAATGTCACCCCATCTGGCGGAGCCCCTGTTCGCTATCTGGCCTTAGGGCCACCAGTAATCACCCCGTCCCAAAAAACAGGACCCGACTCTGTCTTTAATATCCAGAAATAAAGGGATAAATGCCAAGTCAGATATGATAGTGACAATTTTATTAAAGTTTAAATAGGTGATAGAAAGTATTGTAAGCCCCCTCGGATTGGTGCTACTTTGGCGGGTAGCCATCATAGAACTCAAGATATTTAACAGGTGCCCGAATCTCGCTTACGACATTTACAAGATAAGTCTGCTTACAAGTTCCGAACAACATTCGGACCATCGGTCTACTGAGCAATATCACCCGCCCAGTTGAATATCTATCCTTTGTCGTAATTGCCAATACCATACTGCTTATTTCTACTATGAACCAGTCATAGATTCCGGCTTGAAGGATGGAGCAGCCATTATAAAATACAAATTATAGAATTAAAAGTTTTATAAAATTGATGTGTTTACAGCAAAAACAAGCCATAATGCTTTTATGATGTGCGGAGGCGGCTTGAAGCCTTTAGGGAGACGGAGCACGTGCTCAACTAGGTACGGCAGTAGAGGAGCTGTCGCTTCTCCTGGGCTAGAAAAAATATTTAGTCAAAAAAAGCTTCAGATTATGGTAGAGCGTCTAATAGTGGTAGCGTGTATTGTGAGTCCGCGCGGGTAGTTACCACCACCCTGCCCATTTCTGCCGTGAAGCAGTAATGCGTATCGGTTCGAAAGGTGGAGCAGCCGTTGAACTGTAAAAACTAAGACTAAGAACTCATGTCTCAAGGTGGTTGTCAACGTTTATCTTGTTGATGTGTATGGGGACCGGTTACCGCTTAGCACGAAGTGGACCGTGAGTTCTTCCACCCATCTTAGCAATTAAAAAAAACTTTTGAATACATGGAATTTATGATGTCTGTCATTGTTCATAATTCATCTAGCCTATCGCACGGTTGTTCCACAACACTCTCGGCATGTATCCAAGCATCAATGTTAAAATGTCATACATCGCACATTAATTCAATGTGTCAATTGTAGAAAAACGTCCTGTTCATTCCATAGCCATTAGATTTAACGAATTGAAGTATTTTTGTCAAAATAAAATATTTTTTGCGTTTTTGAATGCTGTGAAATGAATAATGGAAATTGGGTTTGATACTTTTCTGAAGACTGGCAGTAGAAGTAGATGTATATAAGTAGACTGTAAGGTTGACACTTCTGTAATTGAGCTCCGATATTATGAGGCTTTTCTATGCCGTATTGTAGCTCTACTAGACTCATCTGAAAATAGTTGATCGCATATAAAGAATGCTTCGTTGTTCTGGCATTGTTCGGATCCCCGTGTCTTTTGTTGATCTAAGTGTAATTCGACCGTAGATGAGATAGATACATAATTAGTTAGTAAATTTTTAATTGGAACAAGGATTTGGCACTTTGTGGATATTTTCATCTGGAAATTTTTTTGTTCGGACACAACATTTATACCTTCTCTGTCTTCTTTGAAGAAAAAATATACTGTATAGTCAAAGAGAAAAGTCCTTAAAATATTGCCTTTTCTTTACTATAATATTATATACTAATATTAATTCCAGTTCATCAGCATCCAAGAGCTTTAAGAAACCTCTTATATTCATATTATGCATAATTTTTTTTTCCTACCTATGCTGATAGTCTTGAGAACTTATTTCAGCTTCACCCTAACATGTAGGTGAGCTCACGGGGCTCAAACTGGAAGTGTGGCTAACATTGACCCTAGCAAGAGCAGTCCTTCGCAGAATCTACCACCGGATCGGAAACGCGACCCACTGAGAACATCCGGCGAGTAGCTCAGTGGGCTGTGTCTGTGGGTTAATTCACTTGTCGAGCCCTTCGTTGCAAGCGACGGGTTCGACGGGGACGGTGACCGGTGCATACTATACGATTTAACTTCAACAAAGAACAATAAATTACTGTAATACACAGCCAATCTTCAATGCAAGTTTATTACCAAAGAAAACGGTAAATTTGACTGCAAGTTAACAACGCACGGGTATTTGGAATCCGTCATTACCCGACCATAAAAGTATCAGGATATTTTAGTAAGTCTTATCTAATTGTACGAATGTATTAGGTTAGTAATATTTTATGTGGGTACGTTAGAGGTAATTTGGGAAGAGCGGGGAAGGTTGTGGTTTGCACTTTTTTAAGGTAACAACACGATTATAACACGAAACATAGACAAACAAATAAAAGAAAAACAAAGAATGGTTAATGAGTAATGAAATCATTTGTTCGAACTCACATGTATGTCTTTGGCACATGGCCCGTTCTGACTCTCAATATTCAGATATTTATCAGACAATACTTTCAGCATCTCGCTTAGTATAAGAGTGCTTACTTTGCGCACTAAGGCGTCGTTTCTGAAATGATAAAACTGAGATTGTGATAGCGCCCTCAAAATCCAGAGTATGTAAATCCAGATCAGAGACTAATTCCATTTTTTTTATTGCCTTTGTAGGCAGACGAGCATACGCCCCCCTGATGGTGAGTGGTTACCGTCGCCCATGGACTTCAGCAATGCCAGAGGCAGAGCCAAGCCGCTGACTACCTTTTAATACACTCCACAAGCCTCGTTTGAAGAAGGACATATCATAGCGCTCGGGAAACACCGTAGCTCATTCCAAAGCCGGATGGTACGTGGCAAAAAAGATCTCTGGAAACGCGCTTTGGAGGACTGCAGTGGCTCGTGGTACTGTGGATGAACTCTACTCCGGAGGTGGGCGGTGCGATGGTAGAAATCGCCACTCATTTTACATTAAATTTTCTGTTTTATTTATTGATCACAGATGGACAGGATTGATGGCAGCTCATAGTCTTTAGTCACATTCGTCAAATTAACCCTTAGGAACTACACCGCACGGGTAGGTACCACCGAACCTGCCTATTTCTGCCGTGAAGCAGTAATGGGTTTCGGTTTGAAGGGTGGGGCAGCCGTTGCACTATAAAAACTGAGACCTTAGAACTAATATCTCAAGGTAGGTGGCGGGATCTACCTTGTGATATTGATATCTATGGGCTCCGGTGGCCACTTAACATCAGGTGGACCGTGAGCTCGTCCACCCACCGAAGCAATAAAGACAAAAAAAAACTTCTTTAATACGATGCCATCTATTCATCGTAAAAATAATTTGGGAATACGAGTCAAGTATGGCGGACATGTTTGCAACACAAATGTCATACTTCTTACCTAAGTATAGAGACAGACAGTCCTCAACTAAATTAATGTACTAATTGAATCATACCTATCTATTTGAACTTTGGGTAGCATAATCAAATATCCTTTCGTGAATAACATGTCGCAGAAATCAGATAGAGATTCGCTGTTTTTACTCTCATAGAAATAGTTTAGAAGAAATTTCAGGAATACGCTGTACTCTTCGGTGGACAATTGATTTAGATGGTCCTAGAAGTGATCAATTATAATTAAATTAGATTTTTATAAAATACGAAAGGTTTTATTTTAATTTTTATAGAAATAGAATTCTTAACACGTTTTTTTAAGACCAGATCAAAACTTATAATATAATAAATATTTTTTGTAAAATCGGTCACATTATATCGTTTTATCATTACTAGAGGTCCCGCAGTAGTCGAAATTCGACTATAATTAATGGAAATTGTATGTTTGTACACTATTATGATTGTAATTTATACTTCTATAATCACAAATTTCGCCAAGACTACACTATAAAAAATATTAACAAAGACAAACGATATTTAATCTCAATTTGACAACAGACGTCAAGAACAAAAGTTTGACAATAAATAGTATGCATGCGTGTGTGCGTCAAATACATGGTATGTAGTGTGTGTAATGTTTTCTTTATTGATTTAATGTATCTTTTATGTATTATTTTAAAAAAATATTAGCATTGTGCACTTCTTCTCTATACTCTCTATAAGTGTGGAAAATTTCATACTCCTCCTTCCGCGCAATTTTCGTAAAAAGGGATACAAAGTTTTTGCTTCACGTATTAATTTAAAGATTATTTAAAGATTCATTTTAAAATGTCTTTCTGTGGTCACGGAATACTATTTTGTTTTCTATCAAGAACTTGCTTACATGTGGTATTTGCACGGTGAGTTGAAAACATCAGTGACGCGTCATGGATGAGATGTTTGATGAAGAGAACGGGCTAATCCATCTGGTATGTATGTATCATAACGATTCATCAACGTCTTGTGTCCCTGAATTTGGTGGCGTCTATGAGTGACAGTAACCGTTATTATTAAATAGTATCGACATGGCCGTCTGCCATTCAAAAATAATAGTACACCCAATAAGAAAATGTATTTATTGACACACTTTCTTATTGGGTATACTATTTTTGGTAGATGGTTGGACCTCTTGAGTCCGCACGGGTAGGTACCACCACCCCACCTATTTCTGCCGGGAAGCAGTAATGCGTTTCAGTTTGAAGGGTAGGGCAGCCGTTGTAACTATACTTGAGACCTTAGAACTTTATCTCAAGGTGGGTGGCGCATTTACGTTGTAGTTGTCTGTGGGCTCCAGTAACCACTTAACATCAGGTGGGCCGTGAACTCGTTCATCCATCTAAGCAATAAAAAAAAATCGTTCACTCATCTATGTAAAAAAAATATTAGTAGAGTATTTAGACATGAGCTCACAGCCCGCCTACTTTTAAACAATTATTAACAGTAAGCGATCTGTGAGCTCATCTACCCCAATAAATATTCAACTGATATATACGGAAGCGTACCTTTGTGAAGGCAACAAGTTCAGACAAGACTAGCACAGCATTATCCCACATTTCCATTGCGCTCTGTTTTAATGAGTTCAACTCTTGCTCATCTGTTAGTATGGTTTGTACGAAATTCGTCTTTGGACTTCCATTACATAGAGGTTTTTGAAGTCTAAAAATATATGTAAATTTTGTTACTGGTGGTAGGACCTCTGGTGAGTCCGCGCGGGTAGTTACCACCACCCCGCCTATTTCTGCCGTGAAGCAGTAATGCGTTTCGGTTTGGAGGGTGGGGCAGCCATTGTGACTATACTTGAGATTTTAGAACTTATATCTCAAGGTGGGTGGCGCATTTACGTTGTGGATGTCTATGGGCTCCAGTAACCGTTTAACACCAGGTGGGCTGTGAGCTCGTCGACCCATTTAAGCAATAAAAAAAAAGCTAATCTGAACATCGTTCATTAGAGACGATTCAAGCTTGTGTTTGAAGAGGAGTACTCTCTAGGGCGGGTCTCCTAATTCAGTGAATTTAAATTAGTTACACAGGAAGACAAAAAATTGCGAAGAAAGACCGCTTTGAGGAGGCTTCGGAATACCCTGATATAATTTTTGAGAGTTAGAATTCTTGGGATCAACATTTCGAGCAGTGTTTAGTGAGGGAGTCATATGGAAAGTTAAGCCAAGCTAACTTCTGAAATGTTGGGAGTCTTTAAAAGAATGAAGCGGTACTTCAATCTTGGACAAATGCTTTACACAAGTGGACAAAAGCTTGGTCTACTTCCTTTTGAATCTGTACAGAAGTGGGCTTTTGGGGTTCCGCGGTGATTTCAGGGCGCTATACCATGTCCTTTTTCTAACGAGGCTTGAGGGGAATCCTCAGCAGTAGGCAGCAGTTTGGCTGCCCTTGGCATTACCCTTATCCGTAAGCAATGCTAAGCACTTATCATAAGGTTTTTCTTACAGGAGCACCATATATCGCACATACGGTGCTGTAACATCACTTGTGCAAATTATGTAATTTTTCAGGAGAAGCGTTGGAAAACTCAACATCTTAATGCAAATAAATAGTTCTTCGCGACTAAATAAATAAAATGATAATATTTAAACTACAACTTTAAACGTTATTATTAAAATTAAACATCTCACTAATAACTATTAAAAAGTGGATTTTCTCAAACTCAGTTCGGTTTTAACAAGAATCTCATAAGTAACACTATAGCTCTGTATGTGCGATATATTCTCGTATGCATTTACGGGCGGAAACTTATTTTATTCATACGTATAGATTTGCATCCTTAAAGTTTTCGCTGTAGTATGTTCATGAAAATGTGTTTACATAATTATGACTCCGCGAACTCACCTTAAAACATCTAAACCGAGCTGACACAAAACAACGTAGAACATTCCAGAAAGTCCATTATCGATCAACAAAGAGCGATTCAAACACTCTATTAAAATTTGAAACCACTTCTTTAAAACCTCGCCTAGTATTATCGCGGTAGAACTCTTTATAATAATGTCCTCTGGTTGGTAGGAGATTAGGGCATGCAGCACTAAAGCGCTCGATAAGATGCTGTTTGGGTTTGAACTGATGTGGGTAGGTAAAGCATTAAAACAAGCTAAGAGCTGGACAAGACTGTAAGCGCTTTGATGAGACAGAGGGGCTGCGGTCTTGTTTTGTGTAATTCTGTAAAGAAAAATGCTAGCTGAAAAATAATACTCTAAGGAAACGTAATGAAATTAACCTAAATATTAATTTACTTTGAATTAAATGTTTTTTGCTGGTGTCATATGGAACTACCATCCACATTGCTCTATATTTAAGTGTACAGGGACATATTATGTTGGACGATGTTTGACAGATTTATAGCTGTATAGAATTGAGAATTCAATCTTATATCTTGAGATGGGTAGTGTTATTCAAATTGTGGTGATCACGAGTTCTGATCAACGCGTCATCAGGTTGGCCATGATCGGTCCAATACTTAGCTATTTAATTATTAATAATAATAACTAGTCGTATTTCTTTCTCGAATTCTGCAGATACGGGGATTTGTGATTGTGTGTTAAAATACGTACTCCACAAATGTTCACGATTGACTTCCGCGGTGAAGGAATAACACCGTGTAATAAAAATCAAACCCCCAAAATTATAATTTGCATAATTACTGGTGGTAGGACCTCTTGTCAGTCCGCACGGGTAGATACCACCACCCTGCCTATTTCTGCCGTAAAGCAGTAATGCGTTTCAGTTTGAAGGGTGGGGCATCCGTTGCAACTATACTTGAGACCTTAGAACTTATATCTCAAGGTGGGTGGAGCATTTACGTTGTAGATGTCTATGGGCTTCAGTAACCACTTAACACCAGGTGGGCTGTGAGCTCGTCCACCAATCTAAGCAATAAAAAAAAGAAACTTTTATGAGTACGATTATGTAAGATATGGCCTGCCATTTTAACTTAACTGCTACTAAACAGAACAAGCATGAATTTATGCACATTCAATTGTTATAGTGGACAATTGAAGTATCTTCTCGTTTCTCTCTAAACAGCGGATAAGGATGACTAACTCCTAGAAATAAATATTCCAGAATATATGTTTATGAATAAATTTTAAAGAAGTTTTATTTATTGTGCGTTTTAACTGACCACGATCCTTAGTAAACCTTACATGAAAAAAAGGAATTTTGCGAGTACTTTTTTAGAACTTTATTTGGTTTTATTCATTGCTAGCTGACCTAATAGATGACCCGTCCAATTAATTATTTTTCTCCATTTGAACCTCATTTCTGCTATACCTACCTAATTAATATTAAGAATTCGCAAATCGATCCAGGCATTCTTATGTGATGCAATTACCAAAGGATAGTATTTTACTGCTATTAATACCGATTGCTTCATATTACATTATTTCATACTTCTAATTGCATATTGTATATAACAACTGTCCCATAGAGAAAATTAAATGACTACTTTACGACAGAAACAAGGAAAACGGCGTTGGTGTCAGCCTCACAATATGCGGGGTTGGCACAATAGGGAGGGTTGTATTTATTTTTCGACTACAATTGCCCTTGTAGGTAGACGAGCATACGGCCCGACTGATGGTGAGTAGTTACCGTCGTCCATGGACTTCAGCAATGTCAGGGGCAGAGCCGAGCCGCTGCCTACCGCGGTCAGTCAGTTGGGGGTCAGTCGACACGAGGTAAGGCAGTTCGCAGCGCGCTGCTCTAAAGCGCCAATTATTTAGATACTCCTCAAAGGGGTAGGACATACTTAGTATCTCAAAAGTAAATTAAAAAACACATACCCATTGAGTAAATCGTCAAGAAAGTTAAGACAAGAATCAACGGCTGGCTTGAGTCCAATGCTGGCGTAATGCGCCAAGTTCCTCACTACAGCGGACATGGCGTGAGCGGCGTGTTCCTCCGAAAAAAATCTACTCGTGGTCCACAATAAGCGAATACAGTTCAAAATTGAAACAAACAAATCAAAATCTAAGTTTGATGTAGCTTCGCACAGGAAAACTGTTATGTCGTTTTCCAATAAATATTCAATCATTCGCGCCCTTTCCATGGATGTTTTGTTGTAACGAGCTATGACGTCAGCGATGCATACGCAAGCTTTTTTCTGTGCAAGTACATCGCGACACGTCAGCAGTCGTTTAATATCTGATAATGCGTTTTGCTTCCCACTTGGATTATAATTTCTATTAAAATTACTATTAACAAGACTATACATTTTGTCTAGCCAAAAATTTCTCAACTACTGAATTCAAAATTTGAAAACAGAACTTGAACAGAAATTGGAACATTACCGCGGAATTACAATTTTTTTTGGATGAAATATCGCTTAAGGTCAATGCTTTTGCAAATTTACCAGGGTGGGTAGATGAATTAAATGGCTCAGTCGTGATTTTTTATTGAGTTTTCGAGATATTCTGAATATTCAGGGGCGGAAGAGATGCCTTTCATGTGAAACGCAAAATGCTATACCCCGGCTTGCCTTAATTTTGTTCAATATCGTTCGGACGCAATTTGTTGATAGGTTGTTTGAACCAGTTCAGCTCCGTTAAGCATCAGCTATCTAATCATATAATTAAGTCATAACTATGTATCTATATCTAATACTTATACCTAAATCTACTACCTACTATAACGATCTAAAACTATTAAGATCTTTTAGTTAGCAATTGACTGAATGACATGAATAGGGGGGCGTAGTTGTGCTGTTAGTGATACCTGTTAAGTAAAGTATTTTTATTTTGAGGTAAATAAGAGTAATCAATTCCAGTAAATTTTATCTAATTTTGGCAGAATCAATAATTCCTTTAATTTTAAAAATAATTTAGGAAATATCGTGCTAATATGCATCTAATCTATGGCTGTAGTCAAGAAAATACAGACGTTAATTTTTTACCAGAATTGTGTTGTACCTAGTTGATATACGTAATCATCATTAATCATATTTTCATCACTATTAGTGCTTTCTTTATCTGAGAAGAATTATTTAGTGAACAGTTTATATCCCTGTCCAAGTTAACTTGATTGTTTTGATAACTTAATTCTGTCGCGTTTGATATTAGGTATCATTTTCATAGCTTCTGAAAATTAAATTTCTTAAAGGTTTTGTGGTCATGAACTACAGAAGTGTTAACTGGAAATATTTGAATACTGTACTGTATTTTTTAAACTATCTATTGATAGCTACATTTCGTCGGAAACAGAAAGGACAACATATTGCCAGATCTTAAGACACCGTTAATTCTCTTTTTATTTTCGATCGGTCTTAATCCTCGCATTTATCTCGCTAGTTTTCTGTTTTACTTCTGACATAGTTTTTTAATTGGATTCCAGACCATTTTTTTAAGTTTAAAGATTTAGTGTAATGTCACTAAACGCAAAACATTTTGTGGCACAATTCTTTTAAAATGGCATCAATAGCATTATACTATTGTATCAGCCCAAGCATTATTGCTTTTAACAATTTTCAGTAATTGCGGTTTTGTATATTTATCATCAATTTCCATACAGTGAGAAGCATTGGTAGTTTTCTTGATTGTGGTGGTGTAATATGGTAAGACTTTTTTGGCAAAAGGATTTCTTAAAAATTGTTTTGGTGACACAGCAGCACATAAAAGGAACTCTTTCTATGTCTTGGTCTTCTTTTTATTTACCGCAAAATACGGTAGTTTTAAGTTTTGTTTAAAGCGGCCCTCAGTGACTCATGAACAATCCCGTCTGGAGAACTCATAGAATCAGTCATAGACTAAATTGTGTGTACTTCTGTGGTCAAAGTATAGAAACACTGATTGTGGTTGTACCATGCTAGACTAATTTTGATTTTTGAATCACCTTGTTTCTTACATTCTTAGGTCTTACGTGCTTTTTCATTAAAGGTTAACGTTATTATCATTGGGAACAGAAGTGTAACGAATGTATATTGCACATTTTTCACTATGGTAAATATATTAAATTAGTCGTTAGAGCCCAATTTTAGTGAAGCAAGTACTCCATGTTAGATCCTTGGTAACTTTCCTTCGAAATGTAGTAATTAAAATTGTATTTATTGCAGTCGGTGATAGAATTCTTGAAGGATCTTCCGTCTTACGATGCGAACAACTTTACATTGTTCAATACGGACCACGGGATTAGAAATTGCTCTAAAAGGCCATCTATATATTTACCCACTAAGGACATACCTTCTGAACAAAGTTGAGTACCTTTTTACTCCTGTATTATTAAATGCCTAATTTAAAGCACTAGATAGCCATATTTACATTAAAACAGAATGGACAGATCTGTTTACATTAATAGTTGCAAGTGCCAAAACGAATTTCTGCATGGGAAACTTATTTATCAAACTAATAATTGTTAAATTCTTGCTAATTGCAGATTATATATAACATGAAAACGGTAAATTAAGTGTAGAATGTTTTGTGCTGGGCATATTTAGCCCTTCCTCTTGCAAACGAGTTAAAACTTGTCGATGTGAGTGTGTGATGAAGTTGCATGAAATATTAACGATTTTAAATTGAATTCATTGTTATTACATATCTATAACAATACCTCTTAGCTATACAGGAAGACCACATTTATCTACCTACCTTCTATCTATATATATAAAAATGAATTGCTGTTCGTTAGTCTCGCTAAAACTCGAGAACGGCTGGACCGTTTTGGCTAATTTTGATCTTGAATTATTTGTGGAAGTCCAGTGAAGGTTTAAAAGGTAGATAAATATGAAAATGCTCAGAATTAAATAAAAATAACAATTTTATTTTTCCTTTAATGTGTCCCCCGTCAGACAGCTTCTTTTTGTTTGTTTTAAGTTTATTTAATACAAAATTGTAGGTCTTTTATTTATCGATTGAGGCACTACGAAGTCTGTCGGGTCAGCTAGCTTAAAATAGAAAATTTAGAATTTCAAAATTTTAGAACTTGTGACTAAATGAAATAATGGATTTTCAGAGATAACTTGAACATTAATTGCTCTCTCCTTTAAACTATTTTTAAATATTTCAAATCTTATTTTGTGTGAAGGTGTGTTGAAGGTGTCATGTTTTTTTATTTGCATAGTGGGCATGTGAATAAGCTAATGGCACATCGGACGTTAAATGGTTACTGGAGCCCAGTTAAATATATTACCTCTGTATTTGAGGTTTCTCTTATGATATAGCTAAGTGTGTATTTCAAGAGAAAAATTAGCACCTCCCTTGGGATTTGAACACAGGCATAGCCACATAACTCAATATGAGTACACCGACTGTCATGAACCCCACAACAACTTCAAATATATGATTAATCATTCAATTTTTTTATTTTCAGTTATTGTAACACAAAAAACAAACATACTATTAAGATACCTACACCAGCAATGGGAGAAAAAGGTAATTTATTACAACATAATTAAAAATAATGATATATGCAGGGTCTTCAGAAATGGAGGGTAGCTGCCAGCTACCATAAGATCTTATTAAAGGGATGAGTATATCACAATGAAGTAGGAAACCTATGGAAATGAAACGTCAACCAAAATTTCGTGCCACTGTGACGTCATCTGGCCACAAAACATGGCGGCTTTAGTGCTGTACAAAAGATTTCAATGTTATCAGGTTTTATCGATAAACGGTCTTGGCTCATTTTATTTTAAATATTGTTGAGTATTATTTATTTGTAGAATTTATACTTTAATGGGAAGTAAGTAGGTATATTGTTATGTGCAAATATGATATGATTTAGATGGGTGAAATCTAAGACAAGTTCGTCCTTTGAATTTGCCAAGTAAACGATATGATGATTTTTAAAAGTTGCTACACTGATTTTATAAAGTTGTCGTTTGCCGCAAAACATAAAAATATGGCGTAGTTCAAAGCCATCAGCCCATTTCTAGCATGCTAAATGTTATCGTATTTTGAGTACGTGTTTTTCTTAGACTATTACAATCTATTTTAATTGTTTTGCTGACTCTAAAGTCCGTAACATACTACCGCAGCGCACCCCAAGGAAGATGCGCCGCACCATTTGAATCACTTTCGCTTGAGAGTGATTCAAATTTTAAACTTATCAAGGGACCGCGTGAAAAAAAAAACACCTACAGAACATTTATTCATTAATTACAAACGTCATTCCTTGTGACTTCCTCTCTAAAATCACTTAATTATTAAATATTTAACAAATTTACAATAGTGTTTTACTCACTGCGGAATAAAACTATTTTATTTAAATAGTTCCGAAGAGATTTTGTCGGTAGCCTTTTTCCCGAAATATCTAAACAGAATGTCTAAATATGTTTTGATGACATATTTTAAAGTGGTATTTATGATTAGTGTCATGATCAATAGATTCCGACCGAAAAATGGATTTTTCGGATGAGGGCTCCATAATGAATTTAAATACATATAGATAATAGTTTTAGGGCATCGACTTTCTTGAGATCCTATAAAATACGTTTTAATTATTATTTTTGTATGTTTTAAGCATGATAAATTATGAAATTTTATATAATCAATCATATTAAATCGATATCATAGTCAATAAATAATGTACAACCCAAAACAGACGGCCGAACTGACCTGACAATGACATTTGGCGCGCTAAACATGGCGGATTTTCGGCCTCATTAGACGGAGACGGAGATATTTACGTATATTCATGTTTCATTTTATGTACGCACTGAAATACTGTTATATTGTTTTCCTGCGAGTTAAAGTGCTGAGTAAGAACGAGATAGATATATGTTTATGTATGTGTCTTCAAAATGGGTGCTATTTATATAAGCAATTGTACGTATAGAACAATATGTCGTGTCCCTACTATATAGGTCTATGGTATATCACCATCAACCCACAGACCATCCACTGCTGCACATAGGCTTATGATGAGTATTTAGTGCCACAAGGGAAAGTCTCTTTTGTGAGAAGCCAGTAAAAAAATCAGCACTACATACAGTAGTATTCCAGTAAAACCATACCTATTAACGTTAATAGCTTAACATCAAAACTAATGAATATTCCTTCCGAAAATTATAAAAAAAATCCAAAGTGCAAAGCTTTAGTAATTAATAACTTTGAAGCAGCTTAAAGGTGAATTAGTGTGTTTTCAAAAGAATTTTGACCAAGGTACATAAAGTTCAATTTTAGTTAATAAAATGTGCTAAATGTGTGCTACTCAATCAAGCTTTAGTTTTTTAATTATTAATTAATGTAAAATAAAATAAAGATATTTTTTAATGAACATGAAACAATTGCTTTAAACCTTAGTATATTTTATTTTGACATCACAGCGTTTTATGAGAACTTTACTAATAAACATGTCCTTTTTTCAGAACAACAATTCTCCAAAGAAACGTGATCAGACACATATAGAACAAAATGGTGAAGATAGTCAGCAACGCAAGAGGCCCTGTCTAAGTTCTCAAATCAACTGAAATCCCGACAATGCACTCACAATAAGTTTGTGTTTAATTCGTGAACTTTGCAGAGTGTATGTTGTACACATAATTACATTAATATTCCACAATTTTAGATCAAACTGTACATTGATTTGTGAAATTCACTGGTTCAGTGACTTTTGGGATTTAATTGTAAAAGTTCAATATATTAGCAGTAAACATTGTTATTAAATGTTCTAATCATAGAAAATCAATAAGCACAGGCAAAGCAAGTATCATTATAAGTTTTGTTTATGAACACCTATTGAAATATTCAATAATAAGCAAGTTATCTGTTCAGCAATGCATATTTAAAATTTTATAAAATACAGGGTGTACACAGATCATTCAATGTTAACGAAAAATAATTGCATTTTCAAAGCCAACCATTTTGTTATTTGTATGTTATTGCACACAGACAAAAAGGAATGACAAGCTTAACTCAAACATTAATTTCTATCAAACAGCCCTAATGCAAAATAAGAAAGAATATAATAAAGTAATATTAAAACTGAAAATACAACACAAGATGTAAAAAAATGTACTAAGTACTTTAATAAAGTATATTAAAAGATTCTTATGGTAGTAACTAAATGTTTTATATTTTCATATTTCATAAATGTGCAATGTTACATGAAGGCAGGCAAAGGCTTTCGATTTTTCCCGGAAACCTTATATTCTGCAGGTTAGCTGCTTTTCTGTCGTTTTAAGTGCAAAGTAAAATACATTAGTAAAACTCATTGTTATTGATTTCAGTTAATTTAATTATATATTATAATTTCAGTTAGGTACTTGAACATAAACTAGCCTCACTTTCGAAAATATTTTTGTGTCTGATATACCCTGTATAACTTACAAATTATCCACAATGTACTATGATGTAATGAAATAAAATCATGTTAATATAGTATCAAAAACACTACTTCAAATTTTTTTTAAAATACATATACACTTCAGTGGTTTTATAGCCTCTATAATTTGGAAAAATGAAAACTACGGCTTATTTTGAGTTTATTTTTTCATTTTATGGGTATTTTTCAATCCAATGGTTTGAATACATTAAAATTTCCGCATTCACAGGCATTCATTAACTTTTGAAAATATATATTATATTTGCACATGGATCTTGAGATCTGAAAATTCGTTTGACTTCATTGTAAAGTTAGGGTCATTTGTTTAGTTTCAAAGGTCCTTAGTATGCACCATACATAGAATTAAATTTTCCCTTCTTAGCTATAATTTTAATTGTCAAATCTTATAAAATGGTTTGCATCACATGCTCTATGTATATAACTGAAACACATGCTTCAGCGAAGGCTGCTAGCATATTTTTTAAAGCAATAAACATTAGATTAGACCGTTAAAGGTTTAGTGGATAGTAGACATGATGAAGGTCTACAACCTGCAAAAACCTATAAAAACACAAATTTTTTAATGAATTATATGTAAATATATTAAATAATTACCTAAAAATAGTGTCTTATGAAGAAAAAATTTTAAAATTTTCTTCATAAAATAATATTCTGTAGATAAAAACAAAAGCAGTATATTGCGTAGTAAGCCTATGTAATTTATTCTGTGAACATTAATTTACTGAAAGCAAAATTTCCCTATCAAGCGTACTTAAAAATTCCATAATTGTAAGCACAGTTTTTCTTCTATATGCTGTTCTTGTGAATTTTCATTTCCAATACAATCACTAAAGGTTAATATTTGAATGTAAACAAGAATGGTTATTAATTGGTTGTTTAAAGTATGTTTAATTATTTTTAATATATAATACATACATCTGAGGTGTTTTGTTTTAATTAGAGATTTAAAACAAGTTTTTGAAAACAATGTCACATGAGCATTTTTTAAAGTTCCTTTTCGTAGATACCCCATTAAAGTGCATATTTATTTCCATTTTGATATTTTACTTCTCATCTCTCCCCATCACTTTTCTCAGTAAGGTCATGACTAAATTTAAGGCTTTGATTCCTCATTTTTGCTATTATTGTAATAATCAATTTGAGGGATAATTTATTTAATAATAATTATACATCTATAAGTGGAGGATGTGAAATAAAAAAAAACTACTTATTATGACTGAAAAATAATTTTATTCTAATAATTATACTTAATTCACAATTTGTAGAAACAGTCCACAAGCTGCAAAAAATGGTTAGGTTCCAGGACCTAATGGAATTATCTTAATTTTAATAGTGATATCCTTAACTAAGTTAACACCAGTCACTTGAATAATGAGGGTTAAAAATATCGATTTCAGATAATGGACAAGTTTTGCAACAAAAAAAAAAAGAAGTTATTTATTGCTTTAACATTAATAAAATTATATATTTTGCTGTGAAATAAAATTTTTAAATTTATCCAGCTTTACCGAAGTCTAGTTAAAATATTTTAGTATAAGTCATTTAATTTTAATCTTTAGCAGGCACTTCAATGACTCGAGGTTTATCAATAATGCGGGCTGTGCGGTTACCCTTCTCCACAATACCAATGATCCAAGCCTGATATCCTTCTTGTTTCTCAATATCTTTACAGTACGCAGCAGCCTGTTCTCGTGGCAGACAGATTAGAAGTCCACCAGATGTCTCTGGAGCGTGTCCTTGTAGCAATTGAAACATGTTCCCACAAGCTTTCGCTACTGCTGCCATCTTGGCAATTACAGGCAGATTATGGATTACAAATGATACTTCATTCTTTTGATGAGATGCCAAGTTCTGTGCATGACCCAATAAACCAAAACCAGTTACATCTGTTGAGCCGTGAGCATTGTACTTGTGCATCAATCTTGCTGCAATGCGATTGAGTCTGCTCATAGAGTCCATTGCTCTGTGATATGCCTTACGAACGTCTTCTTCAGATACAACTAATTTGATTCTGTTCCAGCGTTCAGGTTGGTCTAACCATTGGTGAGCATTTACTGCAACTTGTGTACCAAGAGGTTTTGTCAAGACCAATACATCACCCATCACTGCATTATCAGGTACAATGTACTCATTAGGCTGGCAGATAGTGGTAGCAACCCCACCAATTGTGCACCAGGGGTTGATGACAGTTTGCCCACCAGTGACAGACGTTCCTGCCTCCAAAGCGGAATCTTTGAACCCGCGCATTATAAGAGGAATAACGACGTCGCGTTCCTTTTCAGTCATTTTCGTTGAGACACCCAACAACATGAGCATATTGTCGCACTCCGTAACACCCATCGCGTATAGGTCGCTAAGAACATTGGCACATGCAATCTTACCCATCATATATGGGTCATCCACTAATGGATAAAAAAAGTCAGTAGTTTGAACTAAACAAAGCCCACCGTGTCTAAGTGGTGTCACCGAGCAGTCCAAGCCGATGCCGATGCGCGGGATAGCCACATGCATAAATTGGTCTTGATCCGCTTGCGAATAGTCTTGCTGTAAAGACTCAACCAGTTTTCCGAGAACATCTTGAGGTACTTTGCAACTTCTTCCCTTTAGATCAGCAAATCGTGTCAGCCGAAAACTTGCCTCCAAATCGTGCGCCACCGGGTCAAACGGACGACGTAAAGCTATTGAATTAGGGTTACCGGCCATTTCTAATTGAGCTGCAGCTAAAGAGTCCTGCGCTACACTCGTTTGATAAGACATATTACACCAAAACAATGATATTTATGTTTTCCGCGGCTTTAAAGGTCTCAAAATGTGGGAACTAGACAATACTAGACACGCCGCCAAGTGACGCTTGCAAAATGGCGTCTCCATTACAGAGAGAAAACGGGCCAAAAATGTCAGTTAAATAAGCGCTTCTGATTGGTGCATATAAAACGTAAACAACAAAATTCTTCTCCTGATTGGCTATTAAAGATCAAAATTTCATTTTTACCAAAGGGAACTGGCTGCTACTTAAAGACGTTCAGTTTTACGCGATTTTTTTGATAATTATGATCCAAGCAAAAGCAAAGTTGAAGTAAAAACTGAAAAAAAATTCAAAAATTATCCTATAACAATTCACAGTAATTTATCTAAAAAGAAACAGTATCTAATTAAGATAAATAATAGTAATCTTCAATTTAGCAGATACGGGGGTATACTCCGAATTATGATTTGAGACGATCCCATATCCTAGCACCACTCACAAAAGTAGCTTAATTCCCTATTACTACCTAGAACGAATGTGCTTAAACACAAAATGCCGCGTCCGAGTCTAAAATTGCCTCTCCTCCACAGCTTCCTGAACGTTAACACATGTTCCTTCTAATGTCACTCCTAAACGATTTGATTATGTACATGTATAAGGCAATCTTGATGTTTATTAACAGCGATGGTTATCGTCAAAGGATCCTTATATTTAATTTTGAACTCCATAAAGAATGCAAAAATTAAGTAACTAAAACCGAATATGGACCTGAAAGAGATTACAATTAATTGCAACCCATTTCATATACACTAATTATATTAGGCCGTTTCTACTTACATATGAGTCGTCTATTATCAAAGGTGGCAATCTGTGCATTTGGACAAAAAAATGTTATTGATATGTCAATACAGATTGATTTGAATATAATCGTCTCCTTCAAAGAATACGGTTCAAAACCTGCATTAAATAAAGGTTAATAGTTAACCTGTTATTTATCTAAGATGTCGTTCCGAAGAGTTTTGTGACTGCCAATNGATTTGAATATAATCGTCTCCTTCAAAGAATACGGTTCAAAACCTGCATTAAATAAAGGTTAATAGTTAACCTGTTATTTATCTAAGATGTCGTTCCGAAGAGTTTTGTGACTGCCAATGGAATACAAAGTCAATAATTCGTTTTTCTGATTTACCAATAATTTTCCAAAAGTCAGATTGCCGGCTTTGATAATAGTCGACTCATATTTGTGACTATGATGAATTGATGACAATTAATTATAATGATGAAAATTAGGACCTAGGGCAATTAAGGTTCAGTATATCTTCTCGAATATCATAACTATCCTATGAAAGCTTGCATTGTAACAAATATATAGGTACCGTATTATCCTACCGTCGATACTACTCTACGGACTACGGGTGGTAGGGCGTTTTATGAGCCCGCATAAGTAGGTACAACCACCCTGCCAGCTTCTGCAGGAAAGCAATATTATGTTTCGTTTCAAAGGGTGGGACAGCCGTTGTACTGTTTCACTTTGTGAGATCTATGAACTTCGTTTACGACATGTGGGTTATGCATGAGTTCAATATAAAGCATTAAAAATAATATTTTTTATGCATCGATAGACGTTGTCTATTCCAGTCAAGCTATTTATCGAAAGGTAATGATAATCTAAATTTTGAGCCCTAAATAAATTACTTAAGCATGAAAGTGAAAAGAAGTTTGAGAAATATACCTTTGCCCTAATGCTTATATTTTTAACAAACTTTTTGAATATTTTTTCGGCGGTTGATTATTTTCAACTTATGAACTTTAACTTGTGACAAAAATAAAATTCCAATACCGCTTGAAAGTTTAACTAAACAAGTGTTTAAGTACGTAGTTAATATGCTCAACTCAAATTAAAAATGAACATAAAAGGTTGGAAAAAAACAGAGAACGAAGCGGGATATCCTTGTTACATTAAGTGAGTGTGGAACTTTCACTGTTATGAATGTTAAGATGTATCTTGAAAAATTGTTGAGAAGTTTATGTATTTGAGACGAATATCTTTGTTTTTAGTGAAACTACCAAAAAACAACAATATGATCATCCCGAATTTATTAAATTATGGCAATCACTTTCTGTATACGACGATATAAAATATGCAGTGTACCGTATTGCGTTCAAAATCCATGCTTTGCAAAAGCAAATTCGAGGTAAGGCTCAATGTTATAAAGAATTACTTAAAATATAAACAGATTTAAATTTTCATAGTATTCAGACATTGGAAATTGTATTATCACCTGACTTTTGGTCACATTTATTTTATGATGAAAGATTTGAAGGATCCCTGGGTAATTTATGTTAGTTCATTCTATGTTATTTGGTAATTTAATCAGTGCTTTAAAATAACCCCTAAAATTATTTATCTTCCACAGTGCCTCCATTAAGAATCAGTTCTGGAGTTTTTGCTCGGCATCAACTTAGTTTGTCTGAAAGCAGTCTATCATTGGATACTACTGAGCTGGAAGCTGTACTAGCTGATATATATTTTGCTGCAGAAAAAGATGGTCTATTTGATGGGGATGTTGACTTTGCTGTAGATCTCCTCATTAATCTCTTATTAAATGTTTATGATGTGTAAGTTAATAATGTTACTAGTTAAATATTCCTTTCATCATCATCATCATCATCATTAGCCTATAGCAGTCCACTACTGGACATAGGCACCTATTTAGAGACTAACACTTAATTTTTTAACATTTTAAGTGTAACTTTTAAGGGAAGGCAGCGTCTTGGCTATGCCTCTGGCATTGCTGAAGTCCATAGGCGATGGTAACCATTCACCATCAGGTGGGCCGTACGCTTGTCTGCCTACTAGGGTAATAAAATAAATTAGAAGAGTTATTAATTGGCTGAATGATGGAAAAATGCTGGGGAAAATTCCATATACAGCAGCGGTCGAGGAAGTTTTTTTAATTATTACCCCAAAATATTTTTGTGTAAGTTGATATTATCCCATGGCGAAGAACAAAAAAACCGAAATCACTTTAGCATCTTTCATATTATAGCCCCCATTATAATTTTGAAAAGAAAACATTAACTAAAAATTTAATTTAAACATCATTTATTCAATAATTCATTAATGTGTTCTATCTCATTCTCTCGCTGGCTGAATCCCTGATATATCCCTGATATAACCCATATGAGAGAGGCCTTTATTCGTGACTGGGAGACTAAGGGTTAGTGTGGAGTGTTATAGTCATTGACATAGCTGTGGATCCTGTTCAAACACTGTTACAATATTAATAACTGGTGGTAGGACCACTTGTGAGTCCGCGCGGGTAGGTACCACCGCCCTGCCTTTTTCTGCCTTACTGGTGGTAGAACCACTTGTGAGTCCGCGCAGATAGGTACCACCGCCCTGCCTATTTCTGCCGTGAAGTAGTAATGCGTTTCGGTTTGAAGGGTGGGGCAGCCGTTGTAACTATATTGAGACTTTAGAACTTGTATCTCAAGGTGGGTGGCGCGTTTTTGTTGTAGATGTCTATGGGCTCCAGTAACCACTTAACACCAGGTGGGCTGTGAGCTCGTCCACCCATCTAAGCAATAAAAAAAATAAAAAAAAACAACAGACTGCAGCTTAATAGCTAAGAACATTTGCAGTGACCGAAAAGAACCGATACGAGTATTAGCAGCAAAGACCCTTCTTATTGTCCTGAGTAATGATCCAGCATCAGACAAATGGTTTGCACTAGCCAATAGTTGTGCAGATCACAATGGATGCGTTTCTGCCAAGAGATTCTCAGCTTTATTAACGCATATTGTAGCACTGCCGCTATACTGTGGGACATCCTCTGGACAGCTGCAGGATGATGTTCTTTTGTGTTTTGATAAGGTTTGTTTCAAAATCACGACATTTATGCTTATTATATAATGAAGGAAAATGAAATGTAGAGCTCAGGATTGATACAAGGAGAGGATTGATAGCAAGAGAAACTATCAACTCTCTGTTTTCCGTTTTTATTAAATAACCTGTGTCTGTGTTTAAAATTTAATTAATCAGAGATTACAGAGAGTAAATAATCTGTTTTTTTTTGTTTTTTGTTTTTTACCTATATATATATATATATATATATATATGCCTACCTTGAGAGGCTATGCAAGCGTAACCTAACAAATACTTGGTGAGCCCAAGGGGCTCAAACCTGTGGGTTGGTTTACTCACCGAGCCCTGTCTGTCGTCGCAAGCGTCGTATTTGACGAGAACGATGACCAGTGTTTGGGGTACCTAAAAGTACCGTTAGTGGATCGGGAGGATCCGAAATGACGTGCTTAAGGCGTGATTATGTAATAAAAGTAATTTATTTCAGAATTCGGGTATGTTAGGCGTAAGTTCACGGATGGTAGCCGAATGGGGTGTGCAGTACTGCGCTAGTACAATGTGGCTGTCAGTTTTAGAACGAATCTCAGCTAGTATTGACGATGAGAATACTATTGGTCAATGCGCTGTTTGCTCACAAAACCTAAAGAAGGTTTCTATAATTTTTTTCATGTTATTTTTATTAATAATTTAAAGTTTATAGTCTACAGAAATCTAGCAGTTTGTGTTAGATTAAAAAAAAATGGCTTAAGAGACCTAACTATTTAATTAAATTCATTACTGATTATGAATTAATGTTTTATCATTGAGTTTTATTCTTATTGAGATTAACTATAACGAAAAAGTTTTTAAATGTAATATTGAGTTTTTAGGCGCGAAATTAAACTGGGTCTAGTATTTTTGTGTGAAAGTCCGACTAACAAACAAACAGACAAAGTAAAAAAATATTAGTTGTAGTTTTGGTTAAGGTACCATAAAGAAATGTACCATAAAGAAATATCAATTATTCTAAGTACCCTCAATGTACATACTTCCATTAAAGTTTTTACTAAATTTAACCAAGGGTCTGTAGCTATTACTCAAAATATTAACATTATAACACGACATTCACTTTACTATATCAGTGTGACATCATACATTGGAAACATACGACTCGGCGCGTATCTAATATTTGTTGATTATAAGCAGTCTACCAATGTTCATGTTAATTGAAGCATGTGAAAACTTGTAAACTGCATAATAATGTATTATTCCGTTTTAGATGCTGAAATTTAAATGTTCAAAATGCAGCGAGGTATATTTTTGTGAGAACTGTTATTTATATGACCGAGGCTTGAATACAGTAAGTGGACACAAGAAGACTCATGTAGTGCAAGAAATTGTTGATGGACAGGTGATTTATTTTAAGCATCATGTAAGAGAATTGTGCCTGCGAATGAAACCTTACATATCGCGTAAACACCTGAATAACTTCAAGCTAAATAAATTCAACTTGAAGGTTTTTCTTGAACGTTCTTTTATTGAATAAAAATCATTTAAATTGTTATAACAGATTTACCATTTAATGTGATATGCCATTATCAACTTTAAGCTTTAGTTGTTAAGCATATGATAAACTTATTTCGAAGTGACAAGAAAGTGGCTTAAAGAAACATATTATGCCAACATATTAAAATTTTCCTTTCAAAAATCATATTAAATTTTTAATTCATAACATGTTTATGTTTGTTGTTTGCTTAATTAAATTGTTTCTTTGAGACAGATTAAATCCTCACAATGCGCGTTCATGAAGAGTATGAGACGATTCTTCTTTTGCACTAAGACTAAGAAGAAGAAGATAGTGAGATCAAAAAAAATCGACCAGTNATATGCCAACATATTAAAATTTTCCTTTCAAAAATCATATTAAATTTTTAATTCATAACATGTTTATGTTTGTTGTTTGCTTAATTAAATTGTTTCTTTGAGACAGATTAAATCCTCACAATGCGCGTTCATGAAGAGTATGAGACGATTCTTCTTTTGCACTAAGACTAAGAAGAAGAAGATAGTGAGATCAAAAAAAATCGACCAGTTAGACGGGCCCAGCACCCTAAAACGAAAGAAGGGTAACAAACCGACAATGTTCACTTCAACAGTTGGTAAAGCTTCAGGGAAAGAGGCTGGCAACCCCGCGAACATGCTTCAAGATATTATCATGCAGCTGGAAGCTCAGAATAGGTAAGTAGAACTAAACTACAGTAGGCGCGCGAGTTCATGTCCGTCCTGAGGAATGCGGTAGTGCTGTGACAGAGTTAATTATGGTAATGTCGATAGTAACTACCGATTTAGTCAACAGCTGTCAATTTGGTTTAATGTAACTAAAGGTAATTTTGCAATTTATGAAATAAAATAAATGTAATAAGTAATTACTTGTTTGTTTCTAATAGAGAAAAATATTTTTTCAATTCCTATCAAATGAAAAGACAACCGACAGATCAGGGTCGGAATCAGTAAGCATCTTTTTTCAGTAGGTTTTTTCTACCTGAACTTGTTGGAAGCGGAGTAGTCATGGTTAAATAACACAATAGCGTTAGCGTAAATTTTCGATATCGATAAGCGCGCGTCACAACCGTCAAGAACAACACTCGACGTCAGACAAATGCGGAGGCGGGTGAAGGCGGGGCGAGTTGTCCCCCGCGCGTCGCTTCTGGCCCCGATGGACATGAACTCGCGCGCATACAATAGGAAGAGCTTATGTTAAAGTCTGTGCTATAAACGGAACATGCATTCCAAAGCATATCAGACTTCAGCTTTATGAAAGTAGATGAAGGCAATGATGCTATGACTTTTGCATGCACGCATAAATGTAATATATAAAGTACTAGCAGACCCGACAGACGTTGTCCTGCATACACAAAATGAAAGAAATGAATGAATGCATACACAAAAAATCATTCAAGTCGATCCAGCCGCCTAGTTGTAGTGTAGATAAATAACCTAGATACCGCTGCAGCACTATCTGTCGGGCTGATTTGTCAATTTAGATCATCCAAGGCGTCACCTAAACACATACAAAAAAATTCATTCAAATCGGTCCAGCCGTTAAGGAGGAGTTCAGTGACATACACACATACAGTAGAATTATATATAGATAATTAAAAATACTTTTATGGCTTAATCTTACGTATGTTATTGTCATTACATTATTTCTGTCATTTCGAATTATGTATTTACAGTTTTGGTGGTTATATACAACTAAGTCAGGATCAGTCGTCAGTCAGTCAATATAATAATAAACTATTAAAAATTTAAGATAATAATGCATGTACTATATTTGGTTATCGGCAATGTAATTTAATAAATTCATTATTTATTGTTGGTCATATTAGTCTACAGTTGATTTTGCCTGTTTTATGTTCTCTGTTTGTGAGAATAAATCTGACTGAAAATGAAAATTTTATTGTAAATTTGATGTAGCAATTAGTTATTTATATGTGTTGTTTATAGTTGGATCGTCTTAATGTACCTCTGAGAGATATGGATTTATAATTAAAATTGATGTACGGTGACATTATCATCTGAATTGTTTTAGGTTAATTGATAAATACTGACTGCCAGACATAAAAAAGTTAATGGAACTGTTTGCATGATTTCAATATATTTAATCGCATAGATTCTTAGATGACATCATGGGCTTGTAAACCTGTGTGCTTAGTGCGAGTATTTAGTGGCAAACGTAAGGACGCTGTTCCAATTCAATACAAATTCGAGTTAACTTTTACGCCATCAAGAACTTAAAAAATTCCACAGTCCCAAAACCGCCATCGTGATATATGACGACTAACTTCATAACTATCTTTAAATGGTCAGCATCAATTAAAAAACTTAGTGGATGTTACCTAAAAAATTACCACATATGTTGACATATAGGCATTTAGCATAGAATGAAATATATAAATAAATTAATAATACAGATTTTATATCTACATCAATACAGAGCTCTTCAAGAATTATCGGTGCAGTTCAAGGACGTTGGAAAGAATGATGATGAACTCAAAACGAAGGTAGATACACATTGGTCACAGATATCTACCCAAATAAATAGACTTAAAGTTTTAAAGGTGAGAAATTTATATATTTAGATTTTACAGATTACAAATTCATGCACATTTCCAAGGGTTATATAATTGTTTTGTCCAGTCCCTACAGATTAAAATATAACGAAGGATAAGTCACACAGAGTCGTCTGGTCCCAACTTAGGATTCCTTATACTATTCGAATCATGGACTATGATACTAATGCTTATACATATTTAAATATATTTGCATACCTTTAAAGATATCGATTTTAAACAGTCAGACAAAGAGCAAACAAACCATATTCATCACATGAATGCCTGTCCGATGTTGGAATCGAAACCACGACTCTCGGCCCAGCAGTCATGGGCGCTCACTACTTCACCGAGTCAGTCAACAAGAGATTTGATTAAAAGATAAATAAATGTAATTAGATTCATTCTCCTGCCCTTCTCCCAGTCACCCGGGTTCGGCGCAACATGTTTTCTCCTTCCATACTCCTCTATATAATCTATCTAAATGTAATTAGATTATGTGCTGGAAATAGGGGCAGTTGTTAGATTAAACGGCTTTTATTAAATACCCGTCATTTTGTGTTACTAATTATGCTTTCAGTTGACAGCAATTTAGAAAAAAAAGGCTTTTTTATATGTATAGCAGATATTATAGTCAAATAAAGTATTCACTTTGACTGAGTTAAACAATAAATAAACTTGTGTCAGTTATTCAACTTCACAGTTATTCAACTGACACAAATTACATATTGTTTAACTCAGTCTTCTGGTTCTTATGAAATTTTAAGTTTTTTACTTTAAATTGGATAAAATGGAGATGTGCCTTATTTTTTACTCTATCCCCAAAGCGTTTTCTTAGTTGGAAATATTTTAATTCAGAGTAATACGTATCTTCTATGATTAAAGCCTAAACCAGTAAGTTGTTGCAGGAAAATTTGATTGCACCTCAAAATGTGTCCAACGATACAGACAACAAAGACAAGCCTCAAGCTTTTGACCTGTTCAGTCCCATACCGGTCATCGAAACTCAGACCAAACTGACAGACAAGAACCATCCTAGAGTATTGAGCTTGGACTCCGGGAACTTCTCTGTTGTGTCGAAACAAGAGAGCCAGAACTTGCTGACGTTGTCTGGAGATGCCTTGAAACCGGTGGTTGCTCATGCCACATCAGATAGCATATCCGCTGTTTCTGTTAATGATATCAGTTCGTGGTACAATGGTAAGTGGTTTTGTTAAATCGTTTATCGCCTGCTGTAGGATTTTAACTATAGCACTATAGCACTCACCCAGCGGATCAACGGACGTTATATTTGTTCAAATTCACGCATTTGTCAATTTACTTATTCACGTTGTGTGATGTCTGTGTTAATTGTTATCCATATAACGTCAGTTGGACCGTGATCTTATTAATTTGCCCATCTTGTTTTTACTGGTGGTAGGACCTCTTGTGAGTCCGCGTGGGTAGGTACCACCGCCCTGCCTATTTCTGCCGTGAAGCAGTAATGCGTTTCTGTCTGAAGGGTGGGGCAGCCGTTGTAACTATACTGAGATCTTAGAACTTATATCTCAAGGTGGGTGGCGCATTTACGTTGTTGATGTCTATGGGCTCCAGTAACCACTTAACACCAGGTGGGCTGTGAGCTCTGGTGGACGAGCTAAGCAATAAAAAAAGTCTCGTTCGAAAAAAAAAACAAGATGGTGTTTTAAAGTAATGTTTATGTTATTATAATCAGAAACGCAGGCTTCCGGCAAGCATGTCCGCCAAGCGAAGGGGCAGCCCTCGGACGAGGTCCCTCCCCCGGCGGAGATCCCGCCCCCCTCGGCGGAGGACAGGTTCGCGGCGGACATGCGGCGCGTGGAGCACGGCAACCACAAGATGAAAGAGCTGAATGCGGACCTTGACAAAGTGCTCGACAGGCTGCAGGAAATACTCACACACAACTTCACGATGGACGGTTGGTATTAAAAAAAATATTATACGGTTTTCTATAAGCTATAGCTTAGTCCAAATTCGACCATTCGTACCCGATCCTGTAGACCGAATGGTAAACAGTCGACGTCGCTCACAGCACGTCATTACGGATCCTCCCGATCCATTAACGGTGCTTTTAGGCAACACAAGCAGCGGTCACCGTCCTCGTCGAACCCGTCGCTTGCGACGAAGGGCTCGACTAGCGAATTAACCCACAGACACAGCCCACTGAGTTTCTCGCCGGATCTTCTCAGTGGGTCGCGTTTCCGATCTGGTGGTAGATTCTGCGAAGCACTGCTCTTGCTAGGGTCAGTGTTAGCAACACTTCCCGTTTGAGCCTCGTGAGCTCACCTACACACGTTAGGGCGAAGCTGAAATAGCCTCTCAAGGCTTTCAGCATAGGTAGGAAGAAAAATAAAATCGACCTGATTTATAGTGTGCTTAGTGCGAGTTTTTTAACGTTCTCGATAGCGTAAAAGTTAGCTCATATTTGTATGGAATGGGATCGTTTGCGTACGTTTGCCGCTAGGGGCGCTGTTCCAACTGCATGCAAAATTGCGATAACTTTTACGCTATCGAGAACGTTAAGAAACTTGCACTAAGCACACCTCAAAATACACTGCTGAAACTGAATGTACCAAGGCGGGTGGTGGTATTTGCGTTGTAGAACTAGGTGGGCCGTCGTTCACCCATTTATAATCAATAAATTAAAAATCCTTTCAGATTCATGTTTCGATAATAGCCAGCTGCGCGAGACGGCGAATGAAATGGAAGGTCTGTTGGGAACATTGATACGCGGAGTCGAACAGCGAGTGACCCTCGGCAACACTAAGGCGCTCGTGTAAATTACACCTTCGACGATATGGAATAGAGTCTAAAATATGATTTGTTCCACCGAAGATTAACAGGTAGATGTGGCTCACACCACAGTGAAAGCTTCGTCTGAGAATCTTATGGGAATGCTCTCAATGCTCACAGAAAAAAAAATTCAATTAGATATAATATTTTAAAATATGTATTAATAAATGTTATCAAAATGCAAATATTCGTGAAATTAATTGTGTATGGAGGATTATTACATCTCTGTTCTTTTTTTTTATTGTTATTGTAAACTGCTGGCTATTATCGACATCTGCACACGGCTCGCCTGATGGTAAGTGCTTATTGTCGCTCATGAACATCAGAAATGCCAGCGGCACAGCAATGCCATAGCCTACTGCTGTGGACTCCACTCGATTATAGGGTTTTGTTCTTTACTAGTGGTCCTTCAGTAGTTGAAATTCGACTATAATTAATTGAAATTATAAATTTTAACACTATTATGATTCTATTGTCAAAGACTACACTTTAGACAAATATTAATAAAAACAAACAATATTACTCTATTCTCAATTTGATCACAGACTTGATACAATAAGAAAAGTTTGACAGTAAATAAATAGCATGAATACGTGTGTGTGTGTCAAATACAAGGTAGTGTGTGTAATGTTTTTTTTTATTGATTTAATGTATTTTTTATGCATAATTTAAAAAAAATATTAATATTCTGCACTCCTTCTCTATATTCTCTATGAGTGTGGGAAATTTCATACTCCTCCGTCGGCGTAATTTTCCTAAAAAGGGGTACAGAGTTTTTGCTTTATGTATTAATATATAGATATCGATATAATAATCCTCTCATGTGTTCTTTCGGTATATAAATAATAGTGATTGGGTCGATACCACCATTCTGTGTATAACTTATCGGTTTGAAGTTTGGAATTGGTACTTAGACCTCTCGCATTGTTCCGCGGCTGGTGGTATTCACTTAACAGTAAGCGGGCCGTCAGCTCAATTGCCTATACAAAGGACTGGCTTATTAAATTAATATGATCATAAGTGTGTTATTTTTTAGGACAATGTGAACATTTTATGTATTTTATAAATGACATAATATTAAGTATAGTTTTTCTTGGTTGTGTATTAATCCGTCCGTGTTTTGGTGCTCAAATAATTAATTTTAAGGAAATTATAGACATTCCAATGAAGTGTAGCGATTGAATGTTAATGATTTTTATGAAGCATATTATTAGAAGACAATATTTTTTTTTATCTTTTTGATTTATGAAATTTCATTGACCGATCTGGTGTTTGAATACTCTGTGGTAGATTTTAAATTAATTAAGTTAGGTACCTACATATTTTATATTAAATTACAATATCACGTGAATTGTGTTATAATAAATATAGCGTAGAGAAAAAAAATCGAGTTTTGTGACTATTACATTAGAAACATAAGGTCGGGTATTCGTGATTTCAACATCAATTAATTATCGACATTAATAATCGACACAACTAGGAAATAAAAAGACATGAGTCCGTATAAAATATTTCTTTGCAGACATCACACCTAACTTTCGGCTTCTCTAGTCGAGACAAAAGGTTGAAAAAAAAAAACTAATTTAGAAAAGTAACATGCCATATATTTATTAAAAAAATAATAATTACATACAATTAATTATTCACTTTTTAATCATAAAGGTTATTTGTAAAAGTTGAACGTAATTTTATTTAAGAAAACCTTAAACGTACATACGTTATTTGCTTTGTGCGGTTAGGTATATAATTAGAAATAATATTGCATTGAATAATAATTTTGTTTGCATTTTTATATGAAACAACACTCGTGGAAGTCTCTTTGCTATATGTTATACTTCAAATACTCATTTTAGGGGTGAAAGTTTAATCGTCATTTTTTGCAATTTTACAGAAGATCCATTCAAAGTATAGAATTTGGAAAACTTCTTCAGCTATTTGAATGAGGTAAACTTAATTGAAGTTCAACTAAAAACATCGAATTGTTGATGCTAATACCAAATAAAACGCACCTTTAATTACAAAGATAAATGTCGCGTTTTAAGTGAAGCCTTTCACCCCGCAATATATATTTTATGGAATCTCAATATTTTAGTCATAGTTAACTGGCAATTAATATAACATCATCGTCAATAGAATTCAATCTTAACTGTCTATATCTTAACTGTATATATGTTTCAATAAATAATCAAATGCTATCGTTGTCTCGCTCATCCAAACATAGACAAGGTGTAACAGATTATAAACAATTTTTATACAGAATCGAAGTTTATATAATTATTTAATTGAGTAAAGTGGGTGTCGTCTTCATAAATGAAATAAAATTCAGTATGTATTCTTAACAGCAAATCATCAAATTGCTGTTATACCATATTTAAATATGTTATGGTTTTGTTTAATTCGTTTTGCACATCTCAGAATTAATTTTTTCTCAACTCTTCTGAGACATTTAGAAATAAATGTTGCCATCTACAATTAATCGAGTCATTGAGAGTTATTACAATTTTGTGATTTGTGAAATTAATATTATTTTCAATTAATAATTTTGATAAAAAAATTTGATTTATTACATCAATATAAAATAATTAAATGGAATAAAGAAATATATATTAACAATTATTCTTACTCTATTTTATACAAAGCGATAAAAATGTATAAAAAAGCAATTAGATTGCAAATACACAACTTGACGTTAGGTACTTAGAAAACATTTTTACAAAAAAAAATACTATAAAATAAATTGATTTCTTTAAAGGACGGTGTTTTATTTCTAGATTAATCTATGTTATATATTATCTACATTTGGGTAAAGAATCGTATAAAAGCGAAGTTAATATAGATTTTATTTATTTATTTATAAAAATTAAACTTAACAATACATTTTCGTGGGTATGGTATGTTTTTTTTTTACATTTGAGGGTAAATAATGTTTTGTGATGGGATCGTGGAGAGAGCTCTATTGTGGGGACTTTGCTGAAAGTACTATATGTATACAATTATAATATTGTTATAGTTCATAGTTTAATTTATATCAAATACGATTTTACAATTCAATAATAAATGGAACAAGGGTTAGGATGTTTTGGCATCTGTTGACTTAGACTGCGAAGGCGTAATTTAATTCGAAAAATATTCCTTATTTCCAGTCATCAATATTAACAGGTAAAGTAGTCAGTAGTTTAGTGAGATTTTTTTATTGAATAGTGTTATCTTAAATTAGGTAATCTTTTACTACAGTCCAACTGGAATGTATAGGGTAAGTTAAACGTTTTTATTCAATTTATCTTTGACTATTTTAGAAAGGAAGTTGTGAATTGACTTTATTGGCAACATCGTCGAACATTTTGTGTTTTAAATAATGTTTTTTTTAAAAAGACGAATCTTTCTACCCTGAGGAATTTTTTTTAAAAAGAATCATTTGTAAACACTACATAATAATCAAAATCAACAATTCGTTATATTAATTCAAATATTCAGATACTAATTAGGCTGTCCTTGTTGCGCAAACCTATCGGAAGGAATGTTTGAATAGGACGGAAGAATAATTGGCATTGTCAGCAGCATACTGTAGCAGTCATCAATTCCTTTTACTGCTGTTGATGAGGTACTTGCAGCAATGAGTTAGGAGGTGCTTCTCCTTCTCAGTGGAGCCGTTCTGGTGGATGGCCGTAGGTCCTCCACGCTCACGGGTGTAAATGTCGAGCCCATATTGACCTGGAAAATTCATAATTCATACATCACTACATAGTATAAAACAAAGTCGCTTTCTCTGTCCCTATATCCCTATGTATGCTTAAATCTTTAAAACTACGCAACGGATTTTAATACGGTTTTGTTTTTAAATAGATAGAGTGATTGAAGAGGAAGGGTATGTATCATAACATCCAATAAATAGTGGAGAAATCAATCATAAATTACAGTTTCCAAAGCCAGGGCGGGTCGCTAGTTCATTCATAAATGATCGAGTTCTATTATGGATTAGTTAGTTGTGTTCTGTTAGTATTCTTTCTTTAGATCAATCTCCCCTTTCGGGTCTGCTAGATGTAATTTCATATTGAAATAAACACAGGCTTTTCTATAACCTTAATTTTTAAATTAAATGAGGCAGCGTAAAAGTGGCCTAACACACAATTCATATTCGTGCTTATGTATTGCAATTTATTTAAAACATAATAAATTTTGATGGAAAATCGGTCTATCCCTAGTTTCATCCGTAGATAACAGATGACTTTGTAAACATCATTTTAGCGCGTATTTTTTTTGTCTACGAAGTATTGTAACGGTAAATTCGAACCTCATTATCTCCATATTTTATGGTAAGGCTATGGTGAGCTTAGGCCACTTTTGTGCTAACGGCCTCAAATAGTCTTCGTTAAATGTGTTGATAAATATAATAATAATAGTTTTATAACGTTAAACTTAAATAGTGGGTTGCTAAGGTTTCTAGTCAACTTTTATTTTAAATATGAAATCTTTTAAGGGTATGGTTCGATTAATGTCTTCTGCTTTATATAAATTAATATAATAATAATATTGACACCGCAATAGAAGGTTTGATAATAACTTTTTAAGTTTACATTTAATAAAAGCTTTAAGTGATTAGCTCTTCGAGTAGTTTTGTTATTACTTTCTATTATAAATAGTTAAAGAAAGAAAATTATTTAAGGCAGATTTTCGAAGTGCTTACCCTCCTCCGGAAAAGTTATATAAAACGATACGATGTCATCAGAAACGTTTTGTTGCACGTATTTCGACAAACGTTTTTCGTCGACGCCATTTTTGTGCAGTGTTGCCATGAAGTCCGCCAGTGGGCGCGACATTCGGAATTGAATTTCTAGTTCCCGACCCGCGAACACTAATGCTTCCTGTAATAATATTAAATGTTTCAATTAAGTTATGATATAATATCGAATAGCATGATATGATATGGGCAGACGATCTCGCGGCTCCTCTGATGTAAATCTATTGTCTGAGTCCAGAGATATTACGAAGTAAATGCCCCGTTTTGAGACATAAAATCGGAGTATTGATTAGTTTTTTTGGCTTTTGGGTCCTCCAAACTGTAAAGCATGATTCTTAAGCGACAGGAATGCGCAGGATGGTCTTACACATCAGCGCTTTTAAGATGCCAAATTATTTAGATAATTATAGAGTACGTTGTCAATAAATTAGTCGAGCAATGTGCTCCTACGGATGCAGTAGCTCAAATGAGAGTCTAAGTCAGTTCGGCATTCTTGTTCTTCAATTAATGGACAATAATTGGGGCACAAAAATATTTGAGTGAGACATCGTTCTGGATGTCGTAATGGGCAGACAACCACTGAGGTGGACCGATGACCTAGTCAAACTATATCGTAAGGATGCGACAGACAAGAGACCGAAATGAATGGAGTGCATATGAAAATACCTACATTCCGCACTGGGTGGACATAGCAGGTTGAAGTAGAGAGAGTGTTCTTAAATGTAATAACACCAGGTGGGCTGTGGGCTCGTCCACCCGTCTAAGCAATAAAAAAAAAATCCTCATTTTGATTTCTGCGGTAAAGTTATCGTGCGTTCTAGATGCGGCAAGCTTTATAAAATACAACTTAGTCTGATATCAGGTCTCAAGTTGTTGGGAGGCCTTTACTTATTGATGTCTATGGGTTAACACAGCCAAACACGGGAAAGAAGCTAAGGACTCTCAAACCTCGGTTGAAAACCACCTGTGACAAGTGGGCCTTCATCTATTCGCATAAACAAAGCTGACCTGGTGAGTTATAGGTACGAGTCCAAAGAGCCTTGTGGCTTTAGTCGGACCCCACTCTCCACTCGCGCAGTCCGGCAGCGGTACCATCACAGTCTGTAGTTCCGCACAACAAATCTGAAAAAAAGAAGAAAAGGATAATATTAATGATTCATTGAATACCTCGTCGCGACCGTATTACTGGTGGTAGGACCTCTTGTGAGTCCGCGCGGGTAGGTATCACCGCCCCGCCTATTTCTGCCGTGAAGCAGTAATGCGTTTCGGTCTGAAGGGTAGGGTAGCCGTTGTAACTGTACTGAGATCTTAGAACTTATATTTCAAGGTGGGTACGTTGTAGATATCTAAGGCTCCAGTAACCACATAACACCAGGTGGGCTGTGAGCGGGTACACCCATCAAAGCAAAAAAAAAAGATATTAAAAAATATCTGGTGTCAAATAGTCCCCACAACCCATGGAGATCGCAAAATTAATGCCTGCACTCACGTTGAGACATGAGGTCTAAGCGTCAATTGTAATGTTTAACAGCTGTCTTCCCTTTTAAACAGTGTTGGGTGCTTCGCAATAAATATATCCGTGCGGGCCCACAAGAGGCCCTACCACCAGCAATTACGGAAATTATGATTTTTGCGGTTTTTATTTTTATTACACGACGGTATTCGGTCATGGTGGAGGTCATTCGCCAGCAGCGGCATAATCACGTCGCTCGATACGAGTGCATTGGATTTTTTCTGCTTAGGCTACGAAAATAAATAATGTAATATAGTTTAAAAACTAAGAAAAAAAGACACTCTTGAACAGCAAAACGAACAAACAATAATTAATTTAATTTTTCGTTTTTTATTCTGTTGTTGTCAGATAAAAGTCAGAAAATTATTCTATTTTCATCGGCGTTGATGTGTATGCAAATTTTCAAGACTATGATACGACTTGAAGTCGATCAAAATGACCTCCAAAGATTCCGTTATACACAACCAAACAGACCAACCAACATGCCTTTTCCCATCGAAGCTTTTTTTTTATTGCCCTTGAAAGCAGACGAGCACTCGGCCCACCTGATGGTGAGTGGTTACCATCGACCATGGACTTCAGTAATGCCAGGGGCAGAGCCAAGCCGCTGCCTACCGCTTAATACTCTCCACAAGCTAATCTATGTTTTCTTTAGGATGGCGAGGTTAGAAAGGAAATAAATAAATTAATCAGTTATATAAGTGTTGCTTCATTAAATGGATTTAATTACGGTTGCATAGTTTTTTTTTTATTATTGCTTAGATGGGTGGCCGATCTCACAGCCCACCTGGTGTAAAGTGGTTACTGGAGCCCATGGACATCTACAACGTAAATGCGCCACCCACCTTGAGATATAAGTTCTAAGATCTCAGTATAGTTACAACGGCAGCCCCAACCTTCAAACCGAAACGCATTACTGCTTCACGGCAGAAATAAGCAGTGCGGTGGTACCCATCCGCGCGGACTCACAAGAGGTTGTACCACCAGTAAGTACTATTTCATCAATACTGGCGATTTTTTTTGGGCAATAAGTTTTGAAAATCGGGTGACTTGTTTCGATCATTAACCCCCCATAATTTTGCCCACGGGTACAAATAGGACCGTAGTAGGGGCGGTGGCGACCACCGAGATAATTACCTTAAATTTGCAGACACTCTTGAACTTCATTGGTTCGCCGGTGAGGTATTCCCTTGGAGTGACAGCGTTCGCGAAGATGTCGAGCAGGAAGGCACCGCTGCACGGAGCGTGCACTCGGAATGACACCACATTGCCCACAACTGACTGAAATTTATAATATTTCGATTACCAATAACTGCTATTGTCCAACTTGGGCGTGTGTATTTTGTTTTACTTATCGTAACTTAAATGCGTGTCTCAGAATCGCGTTAATGGCCGGGCGGAACTCGATTTATAAGGGAAAAGATTAATGACCAATTTAACACTAAAAGTCCGACTGGAGGGGCTTTTGTGAGTTTTTGTGAGTTCGGTGTTCCGTGCTGTTTGCGAAGAAGATATGGAAATTATGTTTACACTGATTTGTATTAGGTTTTAATATAAAAGCGACACAATAACTAAAATAAAATACAAAATGAGTTGAGAACCATACAGATAAACTAAGACACAATATTTTGCCGGTCGTCGTCGCGGGCGCCGAGAGCGCGTGTTTTCTTCTGGCTCAGAGAGCTCGGACTCAGCGGGGGGTAAGGCGGCGGCGGGGGCGGTATCGCACGTTCGGATATTTGGTTCCGTTATACCAAACAAATTACTTTATTTGCGCAATCGAAAGGGTAAATAGAACGGAGAAATGTATACAAGAGAAAAAATAATGGGTTGCGTTAATTTGTGGGTTCTCAGATGAGCTCTACCAAGTACGGTCTGTTCAATAATAATTTCATTCGGTAAAACATTTTCAGTTCTTGGTCTTTAACTGACATTTTTTGTGACTTAAAACCAGATAGTTAATCTAAAATACCAAACTGACCTCTGTGATATTGTCAAAAGTGCCTGATCGGACGAGTAATTTTTGGTCACTTGAGAAATACGTCATAGGTGTAGAGTATACCTCTAACTAGAGTTGTATGAGTTGATCACGATGACAGAAGAGACAAGTAATACAGTAAGCTATCTTCAAATGTAAATCAAAATTGGTTTTTAACGAACCTGCATAACAAATCTCTTGAGGCTGACTCCATCAAAACCATCTCCCTCCGTATCATAGAACTTGAGGTTGTAGTGGAAGATCAGCGAGCTCTGCATGTGTGCAGGCATGGCTATGCGCATAGTCGCCGCACCTACGTATATGGAAATTTAAATTTGTATATATATATATATATATTTTATTGCTTTGATAGGTGGACGAGCTCACAGCTCACCTGGTGTTAAGTGGTTACTGGAGCCCATTGACATCTACGACGTAAATGCGCCACCCACCTTGAGATATAAGTTCTAAGGTCTCAAGTATAGTAAGGACGGCTGCCCCACCCTTCAAACCGAAACGCATTACTGCTTCACGGCAGAAATGGGCAGGGTGGTGGTACCTACCCGTGCCGACGATATAATTCCTTCACCGTGGAAGTCAATCGTAAAAATTTGTTTAATACGTATTTCATTACAAAAATTGGTACCCGCCTGCGGCATTCGAACACCGGTGCATCGCAAGATACGAATGCACCAGACGTCTTATCTTTTAGGCCATGACGACGACAAATATAAATTATATATAAATTGAAGTGACTTTTAACCTAAAGGCTTTTTTAGCAAAGAAATTATTCCTATGCGGCCTAGTTATGATATAACTATTTAATACAAGTCTACATTCCGTTTGTTTTGCTGAAGTATTGTCACATATAGAAGCAGTCATCATCATCATCATCATTTCAGCCTATCGCCGTCCACTGCTGAACATAGGCCTCTCCAATAGATTTCCAGTGCGACCGGTCCATTGCCACCTGCATCCAACGAGACCCAGCATACCATAGAAGCAGTAGCTAAGCGAAATTAAAATATTTAGGTCACAACTGGAATTCAACAAATAACAGTGATCTACAGATTTACCGCTGATTTTAACCTCGTTTCTCAAGTGTAATGGCATACTTCTCCTGATGTCTACGGGTTCCACCAGTTAGCCCCTCGTCTGAATGTGTAAAGCCACGAAAACGCGGGGTTAACGGTCTCGCGTGACGCGCGGGAATTAATCAAAATACGTTGACGGTTGACGAAGTATGAACTTTAAAAAACGATTAATTTATTACTTAGTCTTATTACCGTTTCTACCGCACTAAGTCGTCAGTCCTCCAACCAGGTGGACTGACGACTTAGTGCGCACGGCGGGAAGTCGTTGGATGCGGAAGGCGGAGGATCGCATTACGTGGAAGGCATTGGGGAAGGCCTATGTCCAGCAGTGGGCAGATAAAGGCTGATGATGATGATGATGATTACCGTTTCAGCTCCGAGAATGATTTTTTAAAAGTTTTACACCCTATTTGTACAAAAACCGGTCATAAGTAAACATTTCTACAATTCTCACCAGTCGAGTCAGTGTACATGACCGCCTTGGTGTTAGGATCGCTGAAGTATAGTCCGTATCTGAAGAAGAGGGATCGCACGAACGGCAACTCCTCGAAGTCGTGCAGAGTGATGGGCGTCTTCAGCAACTGCCAGTCCGGCTGAAGAGGGAAAAACTCGTAGATGAACTCCCTAGGGTCCGTCAGGAAGTAATGGTCGTCGTATTCGTATCTGTAATCGTGACGAGCTTGAGATGAATATTTAAGTTCACGTGACCAAGTATGTGAGAGTAAGAATGATAAGGGGACAAATGATATTGAAAGATTCGCGTTTTTGTAGGAATTTTTTAGGTCAGAACGGCTTAAATAAAAAATGGTGGTAGGACGTCTTTTGAGTCCGCACGGGTAGGTACCACCGCCCTACCTATTTCTGCCGTGAAGCAGTAATGCGTTTCGGTTTGAAGGGCGAGGCAGCCGTTGTAGCTGTACTGAGACCTTAGAACTTATATCTCAAGGTGTATGTCGTATTAACGTTGTTCATGTCTATGGGCTCCAGTAACTACTTAACAACCAGGAGGGCTGTGAGCTCGTCCACCCCTCTAAGAAATAAAATAGAAAAAAGTACACGTGACAAAGTATGTAAGAGTAAGAATGGTAATGGGACAAAAGATACTGAAAGATTCGCGTTTTTGTAGGCATTTTTTTGGGTCAGACCGGCTTTAATAAAAACATAAATTTAAACAAATGATCTGGAAATCGTATGTGGATAGTAGATCTACACATGATACAGCTTAAAAAACATAAAAGTTGAAAAATTTAGTTTTCTATCACGATTACTTGTGGATAGGCGTGCTACGAATCATCATAAAATTCACAAATATCTTTTTTTTAAAGGTATCTGAAGAGAGTGAATTCACCGTCTGGCGTTCTAACCTCAAACTATCACTTTTTCCTCTGTTCCCGGGCTTTGGAGCGTCCTTAGCGTTGACCAAATGTCTGGCGCCCCAGTTACACTGCACGAAGCGCCACGCTCCCGCCACGTACACGGCGTTCCAAGAGTTACGGAATCTGTTGTCTTCGAAGCGCACTCCTGGTTGGTAACCGGCCGACTTGCTGTACCCCTTTATGACCACGCAATGAAGACCTGCGTAACTGTTGAAGATCGACAAGTATTATTATTGGTTGAGGAAGGTAGATAGAGAAAACATTCTGTTGACTTTTAACATAGCATTGTAAAAAGATGATAAGCACGAGGTATTCGTTCAGATTTGACATATTCACTTTGATTTATTGATTAGTTTGATAATACCGGTCATAAATTAGAACTCGTTAAAGCAAATCTCTGGGCCACAGTTGAGGGACTCAATACGACATTCTATCGTCCTAATCAGACCGGTTTGTGGGTAAACACAGAGGACGATGAAATTCAGTTCTTCTTACGGGTCAGTTACAGGTGGTCCTTATAATTTTTTGCCTATTTAAGGTTAATATTGCTTTGAGGCAGATGTTAGGATGGTAACACTAACCCGTGAGGGCTTGCATTTTATCCCAACTTCTTGTTGCCCTTATCCCCCGGCACAGCATGTCCCCTAATATCATGCTGCTCATGTTTTTTTTTATTGTCCTTGTAGGCATACGAGCATACGGCCCATCCGATAGTGAGTGGTTACCGTCGCCCATGGACTTCAGCAATGTAAGGGGCAGAGCCAAGTCGCTGCTTACTGCTTAATATTCTCCACAGGCCTCGTTTGAAGACGGAAAATAGTATCACTTTTATGGCCTGCCATCTGCATGACATCAATCCACCTCGGGACTTTCCTTTGCCTTTCAATTTCCCCTAACACTTACCTACACAATCTTTTGAATAAGACGTGGTAACTTTCTGTACCATGTTTGATTCCCCTCAGCAACCCTAATGGGGAATCCCCTCTAAGGTTGTCGTCAAATTGAATATTGTTCAGATTCTTCACAGTAATCCACCGGAAGATAGTCCTCGCCTTCTCTACGTCACTTGCACATCTGCCGACGAGTTGCCGAACTAAATCCGTGAAGGTTTTTTGGTCTTCTTGTGCTACCTAAGGGGTTTAATTAAGAATAGGTTATAAATTTATTTATTAATTTATCGAAAAAAAGTTTGCACCTCACGACCTATTCAGTATTATGCAATTCTTAAAGGCCCGGTAGCTTAATACCAGGTTGACCATGAGTCTATTCAGCTATCTACGCATAAGAAAACATATTTGCTGTATTGTATAGTAGGGGTATCATTTAAGTCACAGATATATCCATATCGATTCTTATAAAATACGGACAAACTTACCGAAATAGCAATTTTATCGACTTCGGAGAATTCTGCTGGGTCAGTGTAGATGTGAAACTTCGACACTAGCGGTGGTTGGGGAGGCGGGGCTCGGGCTGGGTACGGAGGAGCTTCCTCCCCATCCACGTACAGTGAAGATGCCGCCATGTACTCCGAACGACGTTCCTGGATCAGCTCCATCATCTCGTGACTTTGCTTCTCGACTAGAGCTGCTGTTGCCGCCCTGGATTTAATTACGTAACTTTACAGTATCCGTGGTCAACGCAGACGAGATTAGTGAAGAAGAAGCAGCTCAAAAAGAATACTTTAAACTCGAACTTGAACTGTGAAATGTTAAGATGGTGACGTACTTGCGAATACCTTAAATTTCTTGAGTTCTTTCCTATTCGTAAGATGTATCGATTTGGCGAAAATCGCTTTAAGCATGACAATGACCTTCTATCTTCTGTTTTAGTTAGCGCTATGATTGTCTTTCATCAAATGAGGTTCTAGCAGAGTTTTCCTCGTTAGGAGGTAGCTGGGCCATGCCCCTGCCGTTGCTGGATTCAAAGCGACGGTAACCGCTTACTACCCGGTATCTTGGTATATCCCATATTTATCTAAATTTACCTTTCGTGCTCCAACATTTTCCTGGTCAAGCTTTCTTTCTTCTTATCCCTACGAAGTGTCATGTTCTTCTCCAGGTCTGCCCGTTCCTGTTGATGCCGTAGGGTTAGAGCACCGATCTCAGCGTCTGGTCTTCTCTTTTTCACCTGCATTTCTTGTTGAAATCGGCTGGTTAACCTTTCTAATTCGCGCTCCCATTCGTCCTGAAAGATGTCATCGATACGTTAGGGAGAGGCTAGAGGCATTACATGATGTGACTGTAAATTGTTCTGTTGAATATTTATTTATACTGCCGACTTAGATTTTTATTTTTTTTATTTTTTTTTATTGCTTAGATGGGTGGACGAGCTCACAGCCCACCTGGTGTTAAGTGGTTAATGGAGCCCATAGACATCCACAACGTAAATGCGCCACCCACCTTGAGATATAAGTTCTAAGGTCTCAAGTATAGTTACAACGGCTGCCCCACCCTTCAAACCGAAACGCATTACTGCTTCACGGCAGAAATAGGCAGGGCGGTGGTACCCACCCGCGCGGACTCACAACAGGTCATACCACCAGCAATAAGATATTTGAATACTGCTGTATTTTTGTAGCGGATTCTTTTAACAACTCCGCATAATACTCGTATGTATTTATATTGAGCCGCACATATTTGGTCACTATTTGGGTACTATTTGGTCTATTTTTTTCGCAATTCAAATGCGCATTCAGGTCTGTGTGCCTAGAAAGTCGTTATTCTCATATTAAGACTATGACCTAGTGTCTTAAGGTAGCTGCATCCATCTAGCAATGTGTCCCATGCATATTTGGAAACCGCGTAATAAATATTACGTAATTTTCAAATCCTTCAACTATTGTATATTAGAAAAGCCTAACACCGAAAACTTAAGAAACTTCTCCTTGAGAAGAGTGTCAATGAATTCCACTGTATTTTAATATATTTTATATTCGATGAAAGGCAGATTATCATTGTGCTTCAAATGAAGTGACATCAATGAATGTGAGGGAATAGAAGAAAATGCTCACATTCTTCATACAAGAATCGTAGATCTCACGGTCGTAAAATACAACAAACTGGTATTCACCTGTATTTCTTCACGTATTCTTCTATTTTCTTCTTCTCTATGTTTCGAAAATTTCCTGTACAAATCGTCTTCTTCTTGCCGGTGTTTCATTTCTAGTTTGGTTTGCTCATCTCGATCCTGTGGAAGAACGCAAGGAATTAAATTAAGTTCCCCTTAAAATCGCAGTTCGTATATGCCATATCCGTCTTATATTCTTTTTTTTTTTATAAGTATTAGGTTGTATGAGGTTTTGTGAATTAAAATTGGTTAACATCAGACTTTTCTTTGGGTTTTGCGTTTTTAAAACTCCTTTTACGATCTGATTTAGTGAGATTTATTGTTATTATATGATTTGCGAAGTTTAGAATGCTTGATAGTTGTTGTGATCACGACAGTCCTCGGTGATTGTAGAAAACGTAAAATTAAACCATACAACTAGTTTTCAATATTCAGTATTTTAATTATAAAATGTCACTTACACTTCACGCTTATAATCAATTACGCTTATTTTGTGAAACAATTATAATATATACAATTATAATTATAATATATATAACAGTGAAAAAATTATAATAAACGGATTTACAAAAAAAAAAGCCAATAATATATAATATTTGACGGGTGAACCAAATACCCGGTTTAAGAGACATTTATGCTACTTTACATGAGAGCCATTTAAAGATTAAAATTTAGAAAAAATATCATCCCAAAAGCACCTTCTTCAACTATTTGAATTAAATAAGTTCAATTATAAACATCGAATTGTTGCTACTAATACCAAACAAAGCGGACCTTTAATTAGAAAGACAAATGTCGCGTGATAAGCGGAACGACGCTTATACCAAATAATAATTATAAATAGCTTCTCACTCCTCGATTAATATTTTATAACACAATATAAGTCAAAGCTAATAGAATTCATTTTACAGTGACTAAACGTCCATCCGTATGCATCTCTCAACACCTCATTCATCATACATGGAGCATACTTACGTCTTCATATTTTTATCATTTCCAGCCTTCCTTAAACTTTAATGGGCCATAACTTTCTCATCGTAATTACTCTCACAATGTCACATCACATAACTACGACCTATCAACCCGTAAATCATTTTCTGGTTTTGTTTTTTTCTACGCTAAATTCGTAAACGCCAATTTTCGCGTATCATTAATAACGTTTTAACATGTCAGGGGATTTAATGTGTATCTAGTTTCTAAACAGAAGCCTGCATCTGGGAGCTCTAGTCCTCTTAAGCTCCTAATTATCTATAGTAGACTAGCTGACCCGGCAGAGTTCGTAGTGCCTCAATCGATAAATAAAAAAACTAAACTTTTGTATAAAATAAACTTAAAACAAACAAAAGCAATCCGTCCGACGGGGGATACATCAAAGGAAAAACAAAATTGTTATTATTATTTAATTCCAAGCATTTTCATAATTATCTACCTTTTAAACCTTCTCTGGGCTTCCACAAATAATTCAAGACCAAAATTAGCCAATCGGTCCAGCTGTTCTCGAGTTTTAGCGAGACCAACGAACAGCAATTCATTTATATAGATTGATAGATTTTCCTATTTAACTTCCTAATATTAGCGAGGCCGGCAGCGGCATTTATTTAGTGGTCCGTATAACATCTTGTAAGCCTTTCACCTAAGATTGACCGCGGAGTTGACTGACAAACAAAATAATGCTGTAAACTTTGAGAATTGGTGAACAACTTACGTTATGTAGTTGTGAGATTGAAAACACAGCTGTACTTGTTTGTTCTCTGATTGATAGGCGTGTTTACTGTTGGACACAGAGCGTGCTAACAAAATCTTTTTACATGGTTTATGATATAGCATATGGAAACCATAAAACGGATGGATGACATTCATTTGTTTTCATCTGTATTACCTTCGATAGTGTAGTGTGCTGTTTTGAAGGTGAGTGGTGATTGTAGTTTATGGATTTCAACAAAGAAATATAAGTAAGCCAATACCACAGAAGGGGACTGAAAAGAGCTCTCTTCAGTAGCTATCGTTTCGAGAAAGACTTGTCATAGCGTTAAGGTAACGCCTTGAAGAACAAAGTTCATTAATATTAGTAATATTACACCAACATTGGTTTTATTGTAATTTTTGAAAGTTCAAAAATATCATTTACAGAAAATTACATTACATTCAAATTATAATTAAGTCAACAACAATTGATTTTATTGAGAGCGAGCAAATTATTTGTTCTCGAAGTTATCACTTCGGTTGTAACCAAAGTTTTTCATATTATTCTCCGAAAAAAAACGCGTCGCCACCTGTCGAACGCAGACTATCAGAAGAAAGTGAAAAGCACAATTGTGTCTTACAGCTAGCTGCCATCGAAATTTTTAATACTTGCAACCGTAGACGTAATTCAAATTGTTATATTCTTCGGAATGCTGACGAATTGATTTGACACTAGTATTGTGTAAGAATCAAATTAAAACATACACATTTTGTTTTCAATTATTTAATCTTAAATATACAGTTTTTTGTGACGTTCAATGATTTTGGGGTCATGCCCCACGACGATTTTCGAAGGCCCTAGGATGTGAATGATACCAGTCTTGAGACATGAGGTCGAACTTTCGCTTGTATTCCAACATCGATTATTTGCCGATTATAATGAGACAGTAATTTATGATATTCATTTTATACAAGATACTGTAAGTTTCAAATTTACAAGCTAGGTCTTACTGCTGATCCAGTCTGCAGGTATTGTGAGGAGGTGGAAGGAATCCTTATGCACATGTTTGTGACTACTGAGCTTTAGGTAGTAAAATATGTTAAGTTCTCGGAGAGTATATTATTTACCCTAAGACGGAGAAGGAAAATTGTTAAAGAAAAATAGTTCAATTATTTATTTAATTAATTATTTATTTATTAGGCCCGGACAAAGATATCTAACACTTTGGTTTGGGGAAACATCAATGATCTTCCACTGAAGGTTTTTGCCAGATTTCTTTTACTCTATAATAGTTATCATAATACTGGGCATCTAAACCATGATAGAACCATAGTTGAAATGCTAATAATTCATAAAAAAAACGTCTATATTACGTCCTATCTTAGTATACGATATTAATGTCGCTGTTTTCTGCAATACAATATAAGGTATATCTTTTACATCTTTGCCAACAACTAAATAAAAGTAAGTGTCCATAAAATATTTGTATAACGATAAAATACGAATATCGAATCGTATTCGATGAAGGGTAATGTCTATTTTGAAATTCAACTTGAAAATAAAATCAGTCTTGGTCTACAAGTAGATTCGTCGTAACAAGTGACCGTTTATTGTTCAAGGTCCGTGTGTATTTCACACCACGCTGCACGTGAACTCGACTCAAAAGTGGGTCACGTCATCATGATCGAATGTCTGTTCAAAAACTAACATAAAATTTCGCTTCACGAATTTAAGGATCATTTATTTAAGCGCGTTATGCAAAAGGCGAACGCGTTAGAATGAATGGAAACGCGTCGCGCCGGGCTTTGTAAATATTACGTAAAACTACGCTGTCATAATATACAGTCAGAACCCATACATATGTAATAATGTAAGTCATTATCGGAGCGAGGGGCGGTCGTCAAGGAATTTGTTTTTGTACGATTAAAATGTGTTGATAACGTTAACAGCGGCTTTGTTGCCAGTAGCGCGTCAGAGGCCCGACGACCGGTCGTGTTTTTATTCTCAATTTAATTATACATTAAAATGTTTAAACTCGTCAGAGGCATACGCCGACTGAGCGCACAATGCCGGCACCACAGCCACGCGACCGTCATCGGTACTGAGCCGAACCGAAGTGATCCTTACTTTCAAGAGAATAAGGCGAAAATGGATGAACTGATCGACGAGCTTCAACAGAAAACCGGTGACGCTATCAGAGGTGGGCCAGAGGACGCAGTAAAGAGGCACACGGCGAGAGGAAAATTGCTTGTCAGAGACAGGATTAACCGGTTAGTGGACGAGGGCTCCGATGTATTGGAATTGAGCGCGCTCGCCGCCGCCGACATGTACAAGGGCCAGGTTCCGAGCGCCGGTATCGTCACCGCTATCGGCAAAGTTCACGGCCGCGATTGCATGATCGTCGCTAATGATGCAACCGTTAAAGGGGGAACGTATTTTCCGATTACCGTGAAGAAGCACTTACGCGCCCAGTCGATCGCACAGGAATGTCGACTTCCGTGCATTTATCTTGTTGACTCTGGTGGTGCCCATCTCCCTGATCAGGCTGATGTGTTTCCGGACCGCGAACACTTCGGAAGAATATTTTACAATCAAGCTAATATGTCAGCCGAGGGTATACCGCAGATATCTGTTGTGATGGGATCGTGCACTGCGGGAGGAGCGTACATCCCTAGTATGTCAGACGAGAGTATTATAATAAAAAATCAAGGAACCATTTTCTTGGCCGGCCCTCCATTAGTCAAAGCCGCTACTGGNGATGTGTTTCCGGACCGCGAACACTTCGGAAGAATATTTTACAATCAAGCTAATATGTCAGCCGAGGGTATACCGCAGATATCTGTTGTGATGGGATCGTGCACTGCGGGAGGAGCGTACATCCCTAGTATGTCAGACGAGAGTATTATAATAAAAAATCAAGGAACCATTTTCTTGGCCGGCCCTCCATTAGTCAAAGCCGCTACTGGCGAATCAGTTTCTGCTGAAGATTTAGGTGGAGCTGACCTACATTGCCGGCAATCAGGAGTAACGGATCATTATGCTCTAGATGATGAGCATGCTTTACATTTAGCTAGGAATGTTGTGGCCAACCTAAATTGGAACAATGACCAAAGAGCTAGAATTTATTCCTCGAAAATTGAGGAGCCTGTTCATGACATTCAGGATTTACACGGAATAGTGGGTGCTAATATTCAGAGACCTTTCGACATTAGAGAGGTTATAGCCCGGATAGTTGACGGAAGTAGATTTCATGAATTCAAGCAACTTTATGGGGACACTTTGGTCTGCGGTTTCGCCACATTGTATGGACACCCAGTCGGTGTAATCGGAAACAACGGCGTTCTTATGTCCGAATCAGCTTTGAAGGGATCCCATTTCATTCAGCTGTGCGCTGCTAGGAAGATTCCTTTAGTGTTCTTGCAAAACATTACAGGTTTTATGGTAGGAAAAGACGCTGAGGCTGGCGGTATTGCTAAAAATGGAGCTAAAATGGTAACTGCGGTCAGTTGTTTCAAAGGACCGAAAATAACTGTGATTGTTGGGGGAAGCTTCGGTGCTGGGAACTATGGAATGTGTGGGCGAGCGTATTCGCCGAGTTTTCTTTTCATGTGGCCCAACGCAAGAATATCTGTGATGGGGGGACCACAAGCTGCAACAGTTCTCTCCTTGGTCGCCAAAGAAAAGGCTCAGCGTGAAGGGAAACCGTGGACTGATGAAGATGAAAAGAAAGTCAGGGGTCCACTAGAAGCGCAATTTGAGAAAGAGGGTCTTCCTTACTACAGTACAGCAAGGCTGTGGGATGATGGCATTGTAGCTCCGAAAGATACGAGAAAAATTATAGGCCTAAGTTTATCGGCAGCTCTTAACGCACCGTTTAGAGAAAGCAAATTCGGCATCTTTAGAATGTGAGTGAAATTTGAACAAAGTGAAACTTTACAAGACTGTTTTGTTTAATGTACTTAGTAAGACTTTATTTTCTTCTCTAGATATATTTTAAAATTGTAATAAATCGCTTTTGGTGAATTCGTACAGTGATTTTTACCATATATCTTATCTTTGTTAGCAAGTGAACTTGTCACGTTCTTTTATCTAATTAAAATGAGCAATCATTAACTCCAGATTATGACATCTTCGATAAGATTTATTTTGGTTGTGACACGCCTCTTTAGATAATTGTTGCTGTATCATATAGTGAGAAAATTAATGTTTCTAGTACATCCTCAGTTGTTTAAGTTTAAAAAAAAAATGCTACGGTCTGGGATTCGATTTGACCAGTCTTCTTCAGTCCCTGCCTTCGTAGGGAAGTAATTTCTAGTTAAGTACTTTCAAAATCTCGTTGGAATAAATAAGCGACACAGAAAGCAAAGGTGCTTGTTTTTAGACATATGCATTGTTGAATTCAGTTGAGAATAGTCCTTTAAATTTGGCGAACGGATGCCTGATTTTTAAAAACAAAGTAATTGTAGTTTTGGTCGAAGTAAAAAGTAAAAACTAAATGAAAACAATTGTATTACCTACCTTATACATTAACTTCATTTGAAAAGTCATTTTGAAATAAAAAGAACAATGGCTATATGAAATGTATTGAATTACTATGCAAATCATTAAAAATGGTGTTACAAAGTTTAGGTTTAACTAAAGGATTTGTGCCACTTAATTTTAACGGTTTGTTTTTAGTGGTAATAAATACAAGGTCGAAATATCAAAAGAGGACCGATATATGAAGTTTTTTCTATTTCACTCAATTAAAAATTAGTCTTAAAAATTACTGTATTCAGGTTTCATGTGAGGTTAATATGTAGATAGTATAGTAAGATAATAAAAGAAAGTGACTGCTATTAGCGAAATGTCCGTAAATAGGACCGTGCTCTCAAGAGTGCATTGACTTGTGTCTATTTGTATATGTCAGTAATTTCAAAATCCAAAATAGTTCAGAGATTTGGAAAGCTCCAAGGACAAGCTGCTAGATAGCGAAACTTTCGCTGCTTTCGTCTGTCGCAAAGACAAATTTGTTGTATCAAACAAACATATCACGTAGGCGCCAACCAACCAGCCATTATTTAACAATTACTTAAATGTGTAAAAACTTAAGTAAATTTTAGAAACGTATTTAAGATACATCGTCTTCTCGCATTAAAACTGTATAAACTCAAAACTTACTAATTTTACAGGAGAGTGTTTTAAAGATTTAACACGTAATATTTTTAATATTAATCATATTTGCAACATTTATTTTTTATTTTTTACATTATCTGTCTTTTTAAAGTAAGATAAAATTATTTATTAATTTTGTTAATAGTAGCCAAAAAATACGTAAACTAAAAAAAATAAACTAAAACTAAACTACGCTCTTTTGACAGTATTTATGAGAAAAATACTTGTGATAGATACCAAATGATTCCGCATATCAACTCAATTTGGATTTATTTATTTTTTATTTTTTTTTTATTGCTTAGATGTGTGGACGAGCCCACCTGGTGTTAAGTGGTTACTGGAGCCCATAGACATCTACAGCGTAAATGCGCCACACACCTTGAGATATAAGTTCTAAGGTCTCAGTATAGTTACAATATATTAGGATATTAGGAATAAGGAGAATATATTATTAAGGAGAATTAGGAGAATATATTAGGAAATTGTACGCTTTTAATGCGAAAAGACGACATGTAAAATTTATTCATATTTCTGTCACGATCATATTCCGTGGCGAGTGAGTGACATGATAATAAACATAAAGACAACTGGACATATTAAAACAACGCGCCGTGAACGTTCCATTTCACGCTTTCGGACTGCAACGGTCGCATGCGTGTGCGTTTTTTCACGATGGAATTCTTTATAAGAAAATCCACTAGCCGCTTTGTCTATTAACAGAGTTAATTGCCGATATACATAGCCGGTGTACCGGTGGCCTGGTTAATGGAAATCGTTTTGCTGGCTATCGAAGAAATATAGGCGTAAGATAGGCTCTCTGGTTTATTTTTTTGGTGTGCTGAAAATTGTATTTTCAAGTAATTAAAAAAAAACCACTTTGGTTTCTAACAACAGTTTAAGTCTTTTAGTAATTTAAGGCTTAAGATGTCTAGTAATTAAATTTGAAGAGAAGGTGTGAAGAGTTCTAAGAAAATTCGATTAAAACTGCTAATTACTTTTTGTTATATTGTGTGCCTCAATAATTTCAGTTAGTAATATGGTTTCTAAATGTTTAGTTCTGTCAATATTAAATTACTTTAACATAAAGGAGGTTATGTTAATCATACATTTAACAGCAAATAAAATGAATGCATTTATTTTCTCATTGTTTCATTGATATTTATTCGACGATACAATTGCGACAATTGTATCTTTAGATTGCTGATTGTTAGTTATTGTTGTAGAAAATTAGTTATGTAGGTGTACCAGAGGTCGTCTCAATTACGAGCTGTTAGCAGCAGAATGTTTCATTTTCTAATTAGTGTTCCACATTGTGTATTTCATGTTTGTTTATATGATTAGTCTGGCATGAGCCTTAAATAAAAGAAATTTATAGAAGCAGTATATGATCTTAAAACTGTTTGACACAGCATTTCATTTTGATAAAAATACGCAGGACATGTCGTTTTTGGAGTTCGTACAATAAAAAGGTAAAACAACTCAAAAATGTGCTTTTATTGTTTGTTTTAATCTTTAGGTAATGTAAATATAAAATATATTTTTTTAGTTGGCTTATTGCGAATGAAAAACTAAACCACTACATGCACCTTTCTTTTATTTAGATAATGTACAACTCACACTATTACTCATATTGAATTACAACACTTTCTACGGTAAAGGTATTTATTGCCCTGTGCGACCATGTGGCCGGTCGATCTGTTGCGTTCTATTACACAATCATGCGCCAATCACTCGCGTTCTTAATTAACAACTTTCTATCGTCGAGTCAATGAACGAGGCTGTACGATGGCGGCAGCTTTGGATTGCGGTTGAAAAAAGTTTTGATGGATCTGTAATTGGCGCGCTAATTTGTTTTTTTTTTCGTTGTACATTCGCATTTCGCTATCGCCTCTGTGTTACTGAAGAAAGAGTGAGACAGGTGAAAATGAGAATTAGCGGGAAAATTTATATTTCGTATTAGATTTATAAATATTTTCTAATTTGTATTAAATTTCATTAACAAAATTAAAATTGTATTTTTGTACGACTATTATCGATATCTTTCTATGATTACGATTATAAAAAAACCTAAATTTTAATACGACCACGACTAACAGTCTTTTTAGTCAGTGTCGGTTTCTGTTTTACACGCACGAGTAAGGCGACCCATACTGATGTTTTAGTCCACACCGAAATTACCAAATAAGGCGTGATCACGTCATCACCTTCTTCCACGAACTTTGGAACGTGGATTTAGTGATACAACGAAAACTTAAACATCAGTTATTTCCCGTTACTTTATCCAAAATGAATATAGCAAACGTTCACAATTGGATTTTTTATGATCCACTGAAAAACCATACTTGTTGTACGAATTATTTCTGCATTCCATTACAAATTGGTAGATTGATAATTTTAGGCAGCGGCTTGGCTCTGCCGCTGTCATTGCTGACGTCCATGGGCGACGGTAGCCACTCACGATCAGGCCGTATGCTCGTCTGCCTATAAGGGGAATAAAAAATATTTTATTAGTCGATATGTAAGATAAGATACACATGTCACCTGATATTCGTAACCTTTCTACCGTATGCATGATCTACCTCAGCCTTTCCCAAAGTGGGCACTGCAGTCCTAAAGGGGGGCGGTAAGAGACCCAGAAAAAAAATGGGGGCGTTGTGTAGAGGCTTGCGAGGTGTTTTGTAGTTTCATTTAGGAGGACCCTTAGACACCGACTGAGCTCGCGCTATAGTGGTTTTTAAGTAGGTGAAAAAATGCTAAAAATAATTTATTCTCAGACTAGTAGACTAAATAAGTTTGGGAGCCCCTGATCTACCTGATTGTCATTCCGGTCAATCGAACTAGAATTTAAATAAAAGGAATCGATAAATTCAATTGTTTTGTTATGATAAATCATGAACGGAATATGGTCGGCTAAATAATATTTTTAATTTAACATTGTACATTTTCTTACAATTCATAGATTAGTCACGCTTAAGAATTTGATTCCATTTGAGTTTTTAGTATGTAATGGGAGCTCATTCGGGAAACGATATTTTTACGGTAATTTCTAGTTAGACCAATTGAATTATTTTTTAAATACGTCATTAAGAAGTGTATTTAATACGTCATCATTAAATGTTACAATTATTTTTATATAATCCATTTATATTCTCACAGTAAATACTCACCGCAGTATAGAAAAAAGCAGTCTTCTTAATAAGATGGTTGACTTCAAAATAAATAATGTAACAGGTTTCATTGAGTTTTGTTATTTTCGGGTAATTAAAATTTAATTAATGTACCTATTATTTAAAATTTAGCAATATTACCGTATAGCCAATGTTGAGTACCAACAATTTCGACCTCATGCCTGCATGTGCCTATCAAAGCTTAAAAAAATACAATTTTTTTTGTAAACGGAACTGATCCATCATGGAGTCACGAACAACGGTGGACATGCCTCGGTAACGCTTCCATTGCTATTAGCATACACACTCGTTGGCCGCACGATGCAAATTATACATTAGTCTTTATAACTGTTTCACTAATTTTCCTAATAAGATCGTAAACGGACTGATATGAGCGTTTGTGTTAATTGTATTCTCTGAGCCCTTTTGAAGGTGGTGAAGAATTGAGAGGATGAAATGGAGACGCTGTATTAACATTACATTTAATGATGAAAACAACAAAGATTTTTTCATAGCACGTATGAAATTCGTGTAAATTCTTGTTGTAAAAGAAATTATTTGGACAAGAGAGAGTCTAGTAAGTATGAAAAAGAACGACTTTTCAATATTTAATGGTAACTAACATATTAAAAACCTTTAAACCAATAACGCGACATCAACAGAATGTATATTTTTCTAATCCTCTCGTGACATAAGCTCTTAGAAATAGCGCTCGTAAAATCTAATTTAACGAATAGATTAGACAGAGGGTTGCCACATCCTGTTTGATTATTATTAGATTAACGGTCATTTGACTAATACTTTGAATAGTAAGTTTGTTTTAATGATGGTTATGTTAAATTATGTAAGCTCAAACGATAAACATCGATAATATTATTCTGGTTTATATGTAGTTCATTTTTCAATGTATATGTTAAAA